TTAGATTATTTTAAACTTGTTTGGTAAGGATTTTGTCCAATTGAGATTTACCATATGGTAAGCCCTTATTGAATGCAATAAATGGCTAGTAACTTTAAGTGACTCATCTTTAGCCTAGTGACTCAGTGCCAAGCATGGAGTATAGAGAGATATAAAGTGTAATGATGTATATTTATGTTTGTCCGATTGTATATATATCATGCGTATGGAAATTGTTTTGTGTGCTCATTTAGTAATCGCATGATTAACTGCTTTGCATACATTATAGCATTTTAATACTAATTATTGAGACTTTCGTATCTTATCTCTTATAGTTAACATTTTTACAAGAGTAAGTGTTGCCAGGTTAGAGGTATAATTTAGTGTATGAGACACTATCATTTTGCATGGCCTCTTAGGTTTGTTCATGCAATATATATCATGCCAACCTAGGTAATATTTTGATTTTTTTCGAGCATGTAGACTCATTGTTGATTAACTCTTATTTGTTGACCATGAGACTTCTGACTATCTCTCATAGCCATAGTTTCAATATTATATTTTGACTAAATACTTTGCATATTGGCCATGAAACTTCCGTCTACATCTCATGGCCTAAAGGATTATACAAATTTATATCTATACATTGATGCATGCTTTTGGGAATTCATATTAGTTGTGGTATTTGTGAAAATGATATTGTGATCAAGTATACTCCTAAGTAAAAATTGTGTCTCGATGGTAACCAATGTTTTGGAGATTATTTAAGCCTGGGTTAAGTATGGATAATAAATTATTTGTTGTAAAGTGTTGGTTTCCTGACTAAGGTTTTATATATGTGAAAAGGGTGTACATTTCACACACTGGATCGAAAAATATTCTGACGATGTTATGTTATTTGAAACTTTGCACCTTGTAAGACATACTTCTTATTCATTTGTGATTTTAAAACGATTAACATATTCTGAATATTAGTTTTGAGATAGGATCCCCATGTGTATTCTTTACAAATGATGCTTCTATTAGATACAATATAAAGCAACTATTTTTCTTAATTATTATGGTAAAATAAAGTTGTTATATTTAATTTTTTTTATTATGGTAGGCTATTGGTAAAAGATTTTGTTACAAGTTAAACTATTTTTCTACCATGACAAGTGTTTTATATTATTAAATTAGTTTATAAAATGTTTTAAGATCAAAAAATTGGTTTAAAATTTTACAATGTTGCACGTTAAACATGATTTATCAATAATATAATTTTATGTAAATTTTATATTATATATATATATGTTAGCATAATAGGCACTGATGTAATAAATTTAGAGAAAATTATAATTAAGTCCCAGATAAAAAAATTAATTATTTCTTCAATTCATTTATAATTGAAATTTTTATATTTACATGTTAAATTTTAGTTTTTACAAATAGACGTGGCTTGTAAGTAATTAATTTTTTTATCTGAAACTTATATATAGTTCTTTCATGTATTTATTACTCCAGCATGGACATGTATATATAATCTCTCCAAGTAAATTAAATGAATTCAAAAATATTAATCACCAAGAGCATGTTTATATTAGCAAAAGTAAGCATGAATTAAGTAAACTGATATACACTCCTGGTCTTTACAGTGAAAATATCAATAACAATGACATATCTAAAACAATCAAAGCCTCTAGTTATTAAAACTGTATTATTCTTTAATTTTAAAAGAAATCATAATCTCTGTTATAAATATTATAATTTGTGGATGTTCCTAGCTCCATAGCCTCTTGGGATTCCATATCATGGTTAATGCCATTTACACTCTAGCTCCTAAATTGGTGATTTTCTAATATTTATTCATATAACCTCCAATGATTTCATGTTGTACCATGATATATAATAATTCTTTATTTAAGAAATTGCAACTCTTGTATAGAACTGGAGGCTTATAAATAGAGATTGTATACCATACATGGAACATACTCGAGTGAGTGAATATTACTCCTCATTTCTTGCCAATTCTCTCTTACGATCTTCATTTCTTTTATCTCAGTCTTTTATTTTTTCCTTATTTTCATAACAATTCTTTTTTTTTTTCCACCCCCTTTCCAAGACAATAAGGTCCAATAGTTTGTTTGAAATAAGGGAGAATTACATACAAAATTCACATAAAGAAATTAATTATTACAAGATTCATTAACAACTAAATCAAAATTATTGATAATGTAATATATTGTTAATGGCCCTAATTCTATTGTTAATAAATTTTATAGTAATTTATTTTCTTATGTAAGATTTTAACATAATTCTATCAAAATAATGAGAGTTCAATTAATAACTTGGACGTGTTTACAGCTTATTTGATTTTCCATTTTTAGAATATATTTTTTGTTTCGTAACATAAAAATAATTTTTTTGAAAATATATTTTTGGTTATCTATTATAAAAATAATTAAAAGCTATTTTTAAAAAAACTAAAAACTCAGAACATCTTTCAAGTGGCTAATTTGTTCTTGAATTTAGTTAAATTTTAAAAAATTGAATATCATATCTCATTGTATGCGTTTTGTGATTACATTTAAAGTCGATGAAGATCATTAACTATATAAAATTTAAAACAATGTGAACGTATATTCACAGTCGCAGGGGACCCTCAACGATTTAAACCGGAGTTTAATAATTCAATTTTACACACACACACACACACACACACACTCCATTGGTTTGACCCAGGCCCATTCAAGGACCAATCCCTCGCAAACCCAGTTAAATTTCCTGGGTACAATAATAGTATGGGCCCGACGAGTTTTAATTTGTGGTTAGTTTATTATTTTTTACCAGAGATAAATAATATCTGAGTCAATTGAATTTCCTTAAAAATCTTGATCTTGATTAAATTTCTATGAATCACATGATCTTGTTGATTTTTACTTTCTATCTTTAATTAGTAATATTTAATTATTACACTACATACTCCCTTTAGAACACAATGTCAATTGATATTAATTAATCTATGTTTTCTTAAGTAGGTTAAAATCTTGATTGTCTAATTTTTTTTTTCATCTTTCCAATCATATCCTTGACTATTGTAAGCATAATTTGACTTATTTAAAACACTTTTATTAATTGCTCAATTAAATAAAGAGTGTAATTGGAAAGAAATATATAACGCTCACCTAATGGCCTTTATTTTGAATCAATCAAAGTTTCTAAAAATCAACCTAATTAGTTAGGAGTATGTGTAAATATAGTTGTTAAACTATCAAGTTGACTCTATGAATTTAACATTTTTTTTTAACTTACAAAATTATGACAACTTACTTATAAACTTGAACTAAATACAAACTCGATTAAATTCACGAGTTTACCTCTGAGTTATCGCTTTTATATTTTTAACTTATAAAATAGTGTCAACTAATTCATAAACTCAAACTAAATACAAGTTTAATTAAACTTGTTAAGCTCGTTAATTTTTTTTAAATTGAGTGAATTAAGTATATATTATAAAAAATTAATTTATAAAAGTTATAAGACCTGGTTCAAAAGAAAAAGAAATCTTGAAATGCAAAAATTAATCTTAATAAAAGAGATACCGAAAATAAGTTTTCTTGTTTTAAAATTTTTACGTCTCATATATGATAATTTATTAATATATATGAGTTTAATTTTAATAATTTATATTTTTAATATGTTTAAATTAAATTAAAATTATATTTTAATGGCTATTCATTAATAGAAGTAAACTCTTATTAATTTACAATACGAGTTTATATTTTTATCATAAGTTTTCTTAAATTTATGTGTTTTCCAACCTCGTACAAAATAAATTAATTGATATTTTGGACCTTATCCGACATAATAAATACAAGAATGTAGGGAGCTGCATTTTACATGTCAGAACACAATGTAATTAAATACGATGTTCATTAAATGCTTAGCATAATTGTTTCTAGTATTATGTTGTAGTACTTAATTGTCACTGGGATTTAATTGTCGCGTAAGGAGTTTTGGTGTACTTTTCTCTAATGTTTTATCTGACTTTCCTTTTATTTTAGCTACAATACCTGCTTGTTCATTTAACCCTATATGAGATTTCAATGTGGTCTTTTAATTTATAAAATATGTTTTCAATCCTTTAATCTCAACATATTAATTTGAGATGATTATTTTTGTGTGTCAATTGTTATTATTTTAAAAAATTAAATTTAATATTAATACTTAAAAATATTTTGTTAATATTTAAAAATTAAATGTAATTTTTTTATTGATGAAACTAACAAGCTATGGGTTGGATTTAGTCTTTTATTTTTGAATTCATGTTACACAACAAAAAATAATTATTTTTAAAATTACCCTCAAAATTATTGCTTAATGGAGTGAGAAAGCCAACAAATTGATGAAGTAAATTTAGAGTAATTTTTTCTCCTTGAGATCTTATAATTTTTTTTAAAGTAAAGGGAAAGAAAATCTCTCCTAATTTTCTCCTTCTCACTTTTCTCTTTATAATTCTATATTTATATGAAAAGAAAAATACAATTTTTTCTCCTATCTCCTCGCCTTCTTTTTTAGGTTAAATTCTCCATTCTCCTTTCCTCCCGCCCTTTTCACCCCAAATCTTGATTAGCCAAGCACAATTAAATAAAATTATTTAATTTAATAGTACTTGTACAGTATAGTTATTTAGTTATTTAATTTATAATTTATTACGTTCTTGATTTTCACTCCAAAAAAAAAGAAGAATTATATAAAAAATTAATTATTATAAAATTTATTAATAATTAAACTAAATTATATTAATAATAAATTGTATTATCAATACAATTTAATTTAATTATAAGTAAATTTTATAGTAATTAATTTTTTTATATAAAATTTTAATACAATTTTATTGTCTAGTTTAATTTAATTATTAATAAATTTTAGGGTAATTAATTTCGTTCCATGCACTTAATTATTTCCAAAAAAAAAAAAAACATCCTTGGATGAAAATGACAAAACACGTAAAAAAACAGCAGTTTTTTGGAGCAGTTCGAGCCAATTGGTGAAGTGACGCCCTGCCAAGTCCAGTAGATTCTGCGTTGCTCGGCGGTTACAAGCTCAGCGGAAGGAGGCGAAGGACGGAGGAAGAAAGAAAGCTAAGCAAAGTGAAGGAAAGCGAGTTCATCTTCAGGATAGAGCTTAGATGCGTGCCCCCAACGCTAGAAACCTTTGTACACTGAGTGGCCTTTTCCGTTCTTCAACCTCGAAACTCAAGAATTCTAAGCCACAATCCTATCCTCCAGCTTCATCCATTCATGAAGATGATTTTTCGGAGCTCGATGGTGATTCTCACTCGATCCGCAACGATCTTGAGTTTGAGCGACCCTCTGATTCAGGTACATAGCCAGATGGGGGGGTGCGGGCAGTGAAAATTTGTATCTGGTTGTTGTATTTAATTATTATTGTGATTGATCTTGATTTTCAGTTTTCTTCTTGTGGCCGCATTTACCTGTTCAAGGCTTATCTTCACCCTGTTGACTGTTAAGCACACCCTTAGGCAAAGTACATGGAAAAGTGTCTTCCAGGAAAGAAATGTGAAATGTACCTAGAAGCAAAACGATATCGGTGCATCTTCCATTTTCTTTCCGGAAAACACCTTTCTACCTACCAAAAATTGCATAAATGTGGTAATGCTTCCCGGGTGATTAAAATATGGTCTGCATTATGTTACAACTTGCATGATATTTTTTATCTTAATTTTCAGTTTCCTTCTTCTAGTTGCATTTACTTGTTCAAGGCTTATCCCCACCCTGTTAATAACACCGTAAACGTGCAAATGGTTTCCGGGTGATTAAAACATGGCCTGCATTATGTTACGGGGTACTTTTTTAAAGCTCAATGAATGAAATATTGAGGTTTGCCATAAAACTTGTTATTTTCGATTGTTCTCACTAGAAGCATAGTATTGGTCCCTGTCATGTTGGGCAGTTTATGTGTAAATTCTCAAATTTCGAACTTTTTGCTGCAGAGAATTTGCCTGACCTGGTATCTAAGCATATTTCTTCTATGTTATCTGGTGAGTGTTTATATATTTTCCCATGGAAGTAATGTTTTCCCCTTCTTCCTTAAAAAGGCTGTAGATGAAGCCGGAAGCAATGAATATCTGGTCTTTTGGGAAAACACTATTTTTCTTCCGGCATTGATTGCTTCTCTTTTGTGACAGATGAAAAGTCAAGTCCAAGAAGTCAAGTTCGAAAGTTTGCAAAATTTGTACCTTCTACACTAGATCCATCCAATTTGAAAGATGATTTTTCAGAACTTGATAGTAAACCTAAGCCTACTATTTTCAAGGACCTTGACTATGCACCACTCTCTTATTCAGGTACATAATCCAGCGAGTTTGGAAGTAAATTGGAAAGGACACCTGAGAGTGGGGGAGCAAAAATTTGCAGTATATCAAGACATTTGTTATGATCAAATTTATTTTCAATTTTTCACTTCAACCCACTTTTGCTTTTTCAAGACTTCACTCTTATTAAGCATGCCCCAAATGTGCATGTGTTTTCTGTATTTTAATAAAGCTCAATGAATGAAATATTGAAATTTGCAGAAAAATTGTTAGTTTCAAATCCCGAAAGATTTGCCTGTCATTTCCTAAGGCTTAAGGTAGACAATCTAGGAAGGGAGGTGATTTAGAGAAGACTGAGACCAGTGGTCAAGAGGTTTATTTGAAGGTTTATAACTGTAAGATCCAAATGACAGCTGAAAAGTCAGGTTAGGTGTAGCCTAGGATGTTAGTAGTGTCAGTAGGGGTAATGACTACTTTTTGACTCTTAAATATGTACTTTCGTGCTGAGGGAGGAGGAGGACTTTTGGAGAATTGTGGTCAAGTGAGGAGAGTTCTAGCCTCTCGAATGCCAGATTAGGGGTGGAGAAGATCATCTTTTCTCCATCATTTTATCTTTCTTCTTCAGTTTGTATTTGTGAGAGGCTTGTGTTTGTGTTGCTGCTCAGAAGGTGTAGTTTATGTTGTTTCATGCTCTGTAGTTGCCATCTGAGTGTAGTGTCAGTCTTTATTTTGCTTGTAATCCCACTCTATTATTCAGGAATAGTAATTTTTAGTTACATTTACAGTGTACTTTCTGGTTTTGCTTGTTTTTAAGCTTAATAGAGTAGAGCGTTCCATCTTTATTTTCTCACCAATCATAATACATGTTGCTATCTTGCTGGGCAACTTATGTGTAAAAATCTCATATTTCAAACATCTTGTTGTAGAGAATTCACCTAATTCGGTGTCTAAGAAGATTCCTTCCATGCTGTGTGGTAAGTGTTTGTATAGTATGAGAGGTTTTTCTACTTTTTCATGGCCAATTAAGACATCAGATGAAACTGTAATTTATGAATATATGTTGCTTTGAGAAAAGAAATATTTTTCTTTCAGCAAGTGCTGATTTTTCATTTTCAGAATCTGATGGAGCGGAGAAAAAGCTTTCAAGAGGTCAAATTCGCTGCCCTTCAATAATGGAATCTTCTCCTCAAGCCTCGTCCATTTTGGAAGATGATTTTTCAGAACTTGACAGCGAATATAATCCTTCAATCTCTGAAGACATTGACTTTTTGCAACCCTCTGTTTTAGGTACATACATAACCCAGTGAGTATATTCCGATTCTTGGAAGAAGAATGCGAAGGAAAATTTCAGGGAGACAAACAAAAATGTGCAGTATGTCCAGATATTTAATATACTCGTAATCACAATTAATGTTCAATTTTCTCTCCTACTTGCATTTACTTTTCTCAAGAGTTCACTTCTATTAAGCATGCCCTAATTGTACGCATGGTTTTTGGATGATTAACAATTGATCTGCATTATGTTACTGGGTATCATCTTCTGCGTTATGTTACTGAGTATCATTTAAAGCTGAATGAGTTGAATACTGAGGTTTGTGATAAATTTTATTAGCTTCATTTGTTTTCTTGCCCATTTTTAATACAGGTTTCTATCTTTTTGGGCAATTTATGTGTGGAAATCTTATATGTTAGATATTTTGCTGCAGATAATTCACCTAAGCTCCACACTGAGCAGATTAATGATATACTGTGCGGTGACTGTAAGTACACTTTACTGTGAGAGATTTTTCTATTTTCTCTTGGCTAACAAGGATAATAGATGAAGCTGGATAATATGAATATCTGTAATTTTGGGAGAACAAACAATATGATTTTTGTCAGTCCTGAATATTTTATTTTCAGAATTTGACAGCCAGTTCATTGCAGCTGAAAAAAGAAACTTTTAAGAGGTCAAATTCAGACATTCGAATATTCACTATCTAGTACCAGGTTCCCTCTTAAAATAGAGCAAAAAAGGGAAATAACCTCTCTTTGGAAGTTTGCCAAATGCTTATTAAAGATTGCTTTTTAATAAAATAAGAGCGTATGAATCAAAAATTCCTTCATGGATCTTTTAGCCTTGGTTGAATTACATCATATCCTGGTACGTTTCTTTATAGCAATGCAGCTAAGATGTGCATTGGCCTTTTTGGTTGAAAATAAAACATTTGTGTTGGCTTATTCCATCTAAAGAAAACCTATGCGCATTGGCTTATACATATTTAGTCTTTTCCCTGTTTATTTCTAAATTTGTTCTCCCTTTCTTGAGAAGTTGTTTATTTTGATGCACTCCTTTTGCAGATGGTCAATTGGTCAAGAGATCAGGTGATGATGCGGAAAAATTGGAAATTTCACTAGATGTACCATGCTTTCTTGGTCAATTTGGTGGGAATTTATCGCAGCAACAGAAAGAGAAGGCTCGTGACAGAAAGCAAAAGTGGATTTTTAAACACATGCAGGAAAACCGATTTGACAGGGTACTTCAATTCTTTGCAGATAAAATGGGGGCAAAGGCTACTGTGGAAGTGTTAGGTAAATTGGGAAGAGAAACAGGCATGAAGGAATACAATGCATTAATAGAAGTATGCATAAAAAATGCCAGGAAAACTAATGATGAAGAAGTGGCAATTGAAGAAATGAGCAAGGCTTTTCGCCTTTTTAAACAAATGAGAGAACAAGGTTTTGAACTACGAGAGCAAACGTACAGCCCTCTTCTTGTGTATTTAATTGACATGGGTATGGTTGAAGAATTTCAATTTTTCAGTGAGGTAATCAAAGACGAAAATCCCGTTTCAGTTTCAAGATTGGGTTACTATGAAATGATGTTATGGCTGAGAGTTGGTAACAGAGAAAAGATTCAGGATCTTTGTAACTCTATAGCAGTCAATGATGGTATAGACTCTTCTGGTTTAGGAGGTAGGAAAATCTAATTTTCTTGTGTATTTTTTATGGTTTGGTTTGTGCTTGTACAACCTTTTTTCCGAACATCTAGGTTAGGCTTTTAGCCATAACAGATGCGATGATCTCATAAGTAGTTCTAAATTGCTTATAAAAACAAGGAGAATGTCTTTGGTGACATTTTCTTGCTGATTAGATTTGACACTGCTTGGCCTGAGTGGCAATAGTGAGCTACATGGTCTGTGTGGATAACTGCATTAAATATGAATTTGTTTGTCATTATATTGCAATGAGCTCTAGTAGAAACATAGTGATTGGTGGTGTAAATGCTATTTCTGCTATATTATATTCTGAGTACGTTCTGCTGAGGATTTATCCTTCAAAACTTGTACATTATTCTCTTTCTATCGAATTATCTTTAATATGAACTATTCTGAGTACATTGTGGGAATTGGGATCATTAGTATAAGTGTTTGAACTTAGCGTTTGTGTTTTTAAATAGCATGGCTATCGGTAACATACAATTCAAAGAATCCTTCTTTTTGTGTTCTGAAATCCAATTGCTATAAATTTTTGTTTTTGTTTTACACTGTAGAGTCTAACTGGATTCAATTCATTTTGCAGAAAGTTATTTATTGGCATTTTGTGAAAGTGATTGGAAGGAGGGGCTTTTACAGCTGTTGGAAATTATAGACATAACAAAGCTTTCATCTACAGAATCTATAGCAGGCATTTTTAAATCATTGGGAAGGCTATGCTTGGAATCATATGCGGAAAGATTCCTTTTAGCTTTCAAATTTTGTGGTAAGGGTATATGATAACTACGTCTAATTTAAGCACCTGTATGTATGGCATTAGAGGTCAGATGTGGTTCTTTCTAAAAGAAGGGAAAACGTATCTGATTTCCCTTGCATCTCAATGTACACATGAAGACACGCTATTATGAACTAATTTATATTTGGATTTTAAGGGTTCATGATTTTCCAAGAATCAAAGACTATGTAATCATTCGGTACATTGGTGTTATATCTTGCATTCTTAGCATTGGTCTATGCTTGAAAATAACATACCAATCAGGGGTTATATTTGACGTTAGATGTTTTCATGTTTTAATATGACAATTGAAAGTTATCACATTAAATACTATTGGAAATGACATCTATTTCAATTGAGTTGTTTTTAGTTCCCATTTCCCCTTTTAGTTAAGGCTTATTTGTTTTTTAGTTATTTTTTTACAACACTCTGTGTGTTTCGGATTAGCTCAAGTGTCTGTTTTGATTGGGATCAGAATACTTTCAAGTGTTTAGTTTAGATCAGGATAGGGAGATGCTATTTTTGAGTCACATCTCTTAGTGAGAGTAAGAGTCTCTCATTTTCATTGTCCATACATGTTCCATTGCTTCCATCTAATAAATTACATTTTGACTTTTGGGGATTATTGACCTTGAATTTCTATATGGTATCAAAGGCATGTCAGCTTGAACAAAAAGCCTCAATACGGCTACCAAACCCTTTTGAAAAATGAAACCCCAGGGTCATCCTCGAGAAGACTATGGAAAATTGTCCACACGTCACTAACACCACAATAGTCCTGATTACAACTCATTAACTTGACAGGAACAACTACCTTCAGTTGAGTTAATCCATCCCCATGTATATCTTTGGAAAGGGGAGGGGGGCTGTCTTGATGGCCAAGCTTTCTGCTTGGAGATAAGTGACTAGAACAAGATTTGGCATGCTAAGAATCACATGGCAATGACTGGGTTGGTTAATTCTATTGAGCTTGAGATAGGAAAACACTTTCACCTACACAAGATGGCTTACAAGATTTGGGAAGCTTCTCAAGAGCCATATTCCATCCATGACAACACTGCACAATTGTTTTGGTTAGGAAGCCAAATGCATGAGCTACAACAGGGTGAGATTCTTTTAAACCAATACTCCATAACTTATATGTTACTAGCAGCAGTTGGACATGTTGTAGACTCACATGTCGTGCTAATGATTCAGCAAACTACACAAAGATTGTTGAGAAGAGGAGAATTTTTAAATTTCTTATGGACCCAAATTACACATTTGCTGAGAAATGTGGAAGGATACTTCTATAACACCTCTACCTTCAATGCAAGTTGTGTTTTCTGAAGCAAGGCATGATGAGAGTTGAAGGAAGTTGATGCAAGGTTCCAAAAATTGTCCAAATCATGATTAAACCTCTGCATTAACTGCACTTGGCCCAACAGGCCAAAAAGACAATGAAAATTATGGTGTGACCCTTGCCAAAAAATTGGTCAGGTCAGGGAGTTTTGCTAGAAAATTCATGACAAGCCACCAATTAGAAGCCAAAACCAAACTATGCAAATCATGAATTAATGGTGACCCATGAGAGAATAACTTAAATTGAGACCATTCCTCTCTACAAACCTAATTGGGAAGACTGACCAGAACTTTGTTTAAGGAAAAGAAGGTCGGGGATTCTAGTACTCTAGCTCAAGCTGGACCTAGTCTTGGAGAAGACAGATGAAAATTCTCGAAGATCAGCTCCAAGCTGGGAATATCCAACTTAAAAAAGGGAGCATATTGGAAATTACGTCTCTTCTACTAAAGTTGTTTTTATTTTACCTGTCTTGTTTTAATTAAGGCTTATTTATTTTAATTATTTTTCTTATAACATTTCATGCATTTAATGTTATGTGGAATGTTCTATTTTGATTAGAGTAAGATTACTTCAAGTGCTTTGTTTAGATTAGGGGAGAGTTATTCTATTGTTTGGAGTTATGTCTTTTAGTTGGAGTAGGGGTTTGAGTTTCATCGTTTAGTTAGAATAGAGTCTACTCTCCTTTTTTTTTTTTGCCTTAAATATAACTTTCACTCCATCTAATAAAATAAAGTTAGATGATTCCTAACCTTGCATTTTTTCAAATACACCTGATATTTTGTTGACGTTGACAGTGAAAAATTCAAGAATTTGACATGTGAAATCCTCATGTCGTGCTTTAAATAATTTAATGCTATTACATGCAGTGTAATGAGTAAAATGCCATATCCACTTGCGGTGGTTTCTGGACACTAGATATTCAAGTCTTCAAGATCCAATCCCCTTTTCGTGGTCTGTCCTCAACTCATCCTTATACTCACTGACGGAAGAAAATCCCTAGTGACCTCTTCTTAACTCTAGGCAGCACTAACTAATTATGACTTAATTATATACTACTTTTGTTTTTGTATTTGGGGATATTTCTTGACTCTTGATAAAATTAATTATTGGTGAACAGAAAATTCCTCATAAAACTTGACAAATCTAAAAACCTGGACCTATGTGTCAGAATTGAACCAAACCACAATGCATGATATGAAAAGTTGAGAATCCTTAGATGTCAGTTCTCTTCTAGCGTGAGTTTCAAACAAAACCAAACTGTAAGATGAACACTCTTAATTAACTAGCTACTATCTGACTTGAGTTATATTTTAGCTAAAATTGCTTAGTGAGGTTTTTTTTGGATGCTCTACCCAAATGAGATTTCCTTTCGCTGGCAACAATTTGTGATTACACGGACAGAAGGCTTAAGTATTTAATGTGTCAGTTAATCTTTTCATTCAATGTATTTAAATGAGATTTCCTTTCATGTTGCAGATGATGAAGCAAATAATGTTACAAACTTCATCGCCAGTTATGCTGTTAGCCTACCAAATTTAGCGGTGAGGAACTTATCATGAATTTTGCTGGTAATTTCGCTGAGGCTGTGATGCTATGAAGCGCTTCTGTGTTCCCTCAGTTTGCTTCTTCTAGAAGCATGTATCCATTTTTAACTTGGGACCTCTCTCTTAATGAGGATTGTGTAACATTTTGGTAGTTCGCATTAGCATATAAGAAACGATGTATCCATGATTTTGAAATTTCAAGAAGAATAAAGAAGTTAGAGGACTTTCTTTAAATTGGAAAAAGGAATTTTATGTATAGATTATTTGTCTTTGAATCATGTTTCATTTGTATTCCCTCTTTCTCAGCTTTTTACTGCTGAAACATGTCTAGTAAGAGGGTCTCTTTATGCTAAAAACTTGAAATATAGTTGTTGGTAGTTACTTTCTTGATACCCTTGACAGATATCAGCTGCTTTAGCTTGTCCATGTTGCTTTGCATATAGTTACCTGTAGTTTTTTGGGCTGCCTGTTATGTTTAAATGTTGTATTCTTCAGTCTTGTTAACGTGCAAATGTGTGCTATTGGTTTGTAAAAGGTTGAGGATGTCATCTTGAAATTCAAGGATTTGCACCAAGAACTGGAAGTTTCACCTGCATCCTCATCATACGAGAAGCTCGTTATGTATGCCTGTGACTTACTTGAGGTATATAACGTGCACATTTTTGCATTCTAAGTTTTTGATAGCAACAAGTGGCTGGAAGGACTTCTTCCTGTTCCACTGGGACCTGTTGCCCTGCTTTCTTTAAAATTTTTGCAGGATATGATTTTTAAATCAATGCTGCTAGGCTCAACTTAAATGTCTAATCAATTTAACAGCTGCATATTCCTCATAATAATGACCTGCCAGCTTTCAAGCAATATAAACACAGTTGAACCATTTTGTTGTCTGCTGGCTATAATGAACTTCCTGGTTTATAGGATATTGGATTGGTCTGTAAATCTTGTTGGTCTCCTTTTACATTGCCAACTACTTGGACCAATCAATCATGAGAAGAAGGAATCAAACAAGCCAAAATTGAGTTCTGAAGGAAGGGGCACTTTTTTAAATCCTTACCTGATCAATGATTATCTTGTAATGTAGTGCATGGGCATGCCACCCTGGCCAAATGATACCCTTTTTACAAATGATGCCGTCTTTTAGAAACTCTTTCCTTGAAAGTGACGTTTCTTTATCAGAAGATCATTTAACAATCTTATAAATGACAATAGTTTAGTTCTTCCATTCATATACTTGTTCCTCTGTATTAAGCATCTCAAGTTTTTTTTTTTTTTGGATAAAAAGGAGGAGCGGAAAGTTAGTTGCACCTTGGAAGAGCAAGAGAGCTGAAGAGATGAGGGGAATTTTTTTTCTTCCCGGCCTGGGGGGGGTGGTGGGTGGGGTTTGGGGAGGCTGCAATAGATTATGAAACAACAACACAAAATGACTTGCGTTTTCTCTAGGTACATTTGATTGCTCATAGTTGATGACAAACATCCAAAATATTCTAATTTAATGTTTCAATGGTCTATTACTTATATTTCAGAGATCATAATGTCTGTTCTTCATGATGCAGAAAACTTCATGGAGTAGACTGTTGTGTTTTGCATGTACCCCTAATCAGCTTGTTGATTGCATTTGTATTTAACTTTTTTTTTTAATTTTCATTTGCAATGCAGGTGCATTTAGCTCTTAAGATTGTTCGTGAAATGTGTGAAGCAGGCTTTGCCTTATCTACCGAGGTGTTAAATTCCGTATTACGAAGTGTTGAAGAAACATGTGAATATAATTTGGTAAGATGCGTCTTCCAAGCTACAGCTTCCTTTTTTTTCCTTTGTGTTGTGACTTGTATCTGGTCTGCTTTCTATTTCTTTTGTCCAAGGTCCACTGGATCTATTCCACAATATCTCACTACAGTTTGAAGGCAAATTCTGAAACATTCAGGTGTATGATAAGCTTGTGCACCAGGATGAAAGATGTAAGTTGTAACTGGTTCCTTTATGATTTAAATTCTTTTCTGCATTTGTTTCCCACCTTTTGTTAACCAAATTTTGCTCAATATTTGTTATGCTTTTGGTTTAGAGGATAAATTTCTGTAAAGGCGAAAATTGCAGCTCACTTGTATCAATGCTTCTAATGCAGTTTGAAAGTGCAGATAAGATGCTTAATGATTTGGAAGAAATGAATGTGAAGCCTACGTCTAGCATGTACAATGCTATTATTGCTGGATATTTTAGAGAGGTGACGTTATTTATTTATAAAGACACTTTTCACTTCCTCTTTCAGACCTTTTAACTTTTAGGCTTATCCAATCAGATTGTTATGCTTTGCTTAAACTGCAAACATCTTTTACATCAATGGGTGTATGTGTGCATTTGAGGTTTTCACAATCCTTTTTGAACATTAAACATAAATTACTACACAGGTTGCTACCAACCTACAGAAAAAAACTGTGCACCAAAAACTAATACAGGATCATTTAATCTAGAATACCTGGGAACATTGTCATAAGCTAAAACTTTAACTGACTTGTCAAGAAGATAATATACATCCCTGTAAAAACAAACTTAAATATGCAGGACATGTCCATCTGCACTGAAATTGGAAGCATGTGATTCCTTGAAGAATATCATTTTCAATGGATGCTCCACGGGATTATGAATATCAGGTTGCTTTATGATGAATTGTAAAGATAGTTGAACTGCCTCCTATAGCAACCATTTAACATTCGCCTTTACCTGTGCCTGATAAATCCGGTGCAAATAAATATCAATTCCATATAATATGGAAATATCTAATTGTTTTTTGTGTTGAGACCTATCTTTATGTATGATGTTATATATGACCATCCAATCATCTGCTTTCAAACATATATTCCACCTCTCAAATCCTTGCCACCATGGTAGCTGATGTAATTAGCAATTTACTATCAGATATATTCCATGGTTGTTGATCAGGAGTTTCTTCGTTGATATATTCTTTAGGCTTCATACGATTTGAAGATTTTCAGAAAATAATGATTCTGAAAACTCTTATGTTATTCATGGTCAGAGGAAGAAATATATAGAATAAAATGGTAACGATCTTGCCATTCATCTCCTGAAAATCAGCTACAAAGAGGCCATCATAAAGCGAACACATTCTAGGATTAAAGAAGGAAAGAAAGAGGGTTGACAGTTGAGAGAGGAGAAGAGTAAAAAAAAAAAAAAAAATACAACAATAACAAGAAGTCTTATCCCAACAAGTAAGGTTGGCTACATGAACTGTATGATGCTATTGTGCTATATCAGCAACCAATTATTTAGATATACATGCACCAATAAATCTTGTTCGACAATGTGATCAAATATAATAAAACAGAGAAATAGAAGAATAGTAACAATAGCATGAAATAAGGAAACAAAACAGGAAATAGATTGCAGACTTTAGAAACTAAATAGTGAAACGCCACTGACAAACATGGATTCTGTCTGAGAGGGAACAGCATGCTGTGATCAAGGGGTTCCAACACTTCTCATCAAGTTGGAAATAGCTTGAAGTGCCAATCTTAACATGGTGTTTGCTTGAAAAATTTCTTCCCCATCCTTTTTCTTCTTAATTTTGGTTTCTGGTCCTTTGTCTTCTTCATTACTCCTTGTAACGGATCCTTTTTATTTGGTCTTCCTCTCCTCACTTAGTTTGCAACCAAATTAGCTTTCAACAAGTTTTCCAATGCCATTTGCTGGCATTGCTGCCTGCCTTGTGCTTCTAGAGGTTGTGCAAGGTCATATGGCTGTGGCCAGTCCCAGGGCTTTCAACTTAAACTGGTTCTTGCACTACAAAAAATAGAACAATGGTTTCTATAGATGATGGATTAGTTGAAATGTGACTGCTGTGAATGGTAAGCCCTGATTGTCTTAATAATTATATTACCTATCATGTTGATATAGCATCTTAATATGTATAACAGTAAGCATCCAGCACTTGTTTCAATTCATGCATTCTTCTTCTCACCTTTTTCTGAAATTTTGCAGAAAAACATTAGTGATGCTTTAAGGGTCCTTGAGCGCATGAAAGATGCCAATATCAAGCCTGATTCTGGTACTTTCAACCATTTGATTAGCAACTCTAAAACTGAGGAGGATATAACCAAGGTGTGTTGGGATCAACTGTGTCAATAATTTCTTATATACTTCTTTCAGATAATTGGCCATGAACTGCTCCCTTATGTTTGATGATATAGTGATTTTTCATCCTACTTCAAAATTACTGTTGATTTCCTAACTTTAACCGTTTCTCTTTATGTTAGCATGATATTTTTTGTCTGAAATCCAAAAGTTCTATTTAGTCTTAGGTGTGGCTACCTGTTAGAGACCACCGATTTATTTACTCTTTTCTCATTGGCAGGATCTTTTATACTATTTTGTTTATTTAACTTATTATGCCATGGTTTCTGCTAATTATGTGGGTATCTTCTTTTTGTCTGTCTATGTGTACTTGTGATGGTGTTTTATATTATGCTTGGACTTGTTAGAATTATTACTGTATTTTCGTGGATGAGCTTAAGAACTAAAGACAATTTTCAATCATATTAGCTTTCCAGAATTGATGATTAAAATTTTAATAAGTTACATGCCCCATTCCAACAAAATTGTTGATTGACACGTGTAAGTAAGGAGTTGAGAAAACTCCCACACTTTCCCTCAAGAGATTCAGGTTAGTTGTTTTTAACATTTAATTGTCAGTGTTTAAGACTCGGTTTGAGCTTTATTCTACTGTTAGAATTTCGTTCATATGAGTGATCTGTTTAGGCTCAGTTAAAGATTATTTTAAACTAAAATGTCACCTGTCAATACCTAAATATTAACTCAAATTTTAGTGTATATCATTTATGACTTGGTGTTTAACAATGTCTAGTGATATTTACTACATTATTCTCATGGAAGAATTAATTATCTATATATGATAATAATTAAAGTCTTTAATAAATGCTTCTGAACAATTATTACAGTATTGAAAGAATTTTTTTTTTAAAATTTTATCATTTATGAATTGGAAAATTCATGCTTACTTCTAAATATTTAAAACAGTGTCCAAATCGCTGTTACTCCCTTCAAATTGCTGTGCAGTATTTGGATTCCAACTTGCTGACCTATTTAGTGATACTTTGTGTACATATTATGTTTCTGCTATTGAGTTCGTTGCTTGATTTTAATTAAGTTGCCTGAACAAATAACTTTGTTTGGATTCTCCTTGGCATTTTCTTTCTTTAAAAGAAAATAAAAATAAGAAAGTATTGTTTGGTAGAAAGAACATCTGGATGGGTAAGGAGTATAATGAGTCAAAGTTCTCAACCAAGCATTCTCCTTGGAAATTTGCAGCCTAGAACTGATTTCACCAAGTGCCCTGCTTAAGTGCAGGTGTGTGCAGTGCACTAGGTCGAGGTTCATATACGTTAGTAGCTTTAAAACCCTGAGGCGGGGGGTGGAATCAAGTCAGTGGCGCCTTATCTGATTTTCGTTTATTTGGTTCAGATTCTTTCGAACGATACTATATTGGATTTTTTTATCTGGCATGCTATTATGGTGTCAGCATTCAAGCATCAATCCCCCCAAGAAATGAAATGACCATTGTTCTCACACCAAACATGTTGTAGTTGCTGGATAACATGTTATTTTGACCTTTGGTTTTAACTGAAGTGGGGAATACATTTTCTGTTGATGCAAACTCTTTAATGTTAGTATCTTATGCTTTGAATTTTTTGAGATGCTAATTAAGTTACCCGCGTAATGTAGTATTATGAAGAAATGCAGCAGTCTAACTGCCAACCTACAAAGCAGACTTTTGTGGCCCTTATAACTGCATATGCAACCTGTGGACAGTTGGAGAAGGCAAAACAGGTAGGGCACAAACAATATCACTGCGTGGTTCTAAACGTATAGGAACACATTATGCATGAAATACGGAGCCGGTTGAACTCATGTTAATGAATAATTACACTTAGATCTGTCATGATTATGTGGGCTTCAAGCATACCACTACCAAATCCAAAACCAAAAGGGATACAGAAGTATTCGGAAGCCTGACATATCTAGCCATTTAAATTAATGTGTCAATGAATTATTGCATAAACTATGTCAAGATTATATAGCCATTTGAACTCATGCCTGTAAATTGAGGCTGGGGTATTTAGGTTACTTTCCTGTTTGATATTTTATGTTAATATTATTATTTGAACACGTGATCTTTTTATTATTCGCATAATTCACTAGTTTGTTACTATCTGATCATTCGTGTTTCAGGTGGTCTTAGATCCAGCCGTTCCAGCAAAGAGCTTAAATGAAATCAAATGTGCCCTTCTCACGACTCTTGCATCGCATGGGCAATTTTCTGATTCTATTCATATTTATGAGGAAATCAAGGAATCTGGAAACAATCTGGAGCCAAAAGCTGTTATAAGTCTTATTGTAAGAATAGTATATTTGCAACTTGTATAGTTTCTCCCTTACAAGAATTTATAATCAACTTAATTGGATATTTACAGGAGGGACACATCAAATCTGATGGGGAATTAGATAGATTGGTTCTGCTACTTGAAGAGTTGACTGATCCAGACTATTGGGTAGATGGTTGCTTCAGAATTATTATGTTTTGTGTTGAGAACAAGCATTTAAGGTTTGATTCCTGTTCTCCTACAAAAATTTCTCCGGACATGAGATATATATCCGCAAATTGCTTACACTCAATTGTATGTTGGATCAGTCTTGCTGTTGACCTGATCAAGCAACTCAATGATAAAATTCACGACAACGAACTACTCATGGAAGTTCTTTTGGATCAGGTTGGCTCCATTTCTCACAGATCAATTTTTATAAAGCTAGCTTCAATATCATGAGAATTTTAATATATTGGGTTACTTTAGCGGTTTGTTATTTTTATTAAATATGCTGCACTATTGTATACGTTGCAATATTTTTGAGTGAAGTACAGCAAAATTCAGGCTTCTTTTTACCTACCTTTATTTTATTTGTTCCACTACTAATTATTGTTGACGCAATTCTGCTTATATATATGTATATATCTATAGGTATTTTCTACAATTGCATCTTCAGAGTCCGCACATTTGAAGTTTGGCCTAGACCTTTATTGGCGGATCAGGAAAGTGTTTGGCATTATACCTTCACGGCAATGTCTGGACTTTCTTCTAACTGCTTGTGCCAACGCCAAAGATTTGCGGAATATTCGTAAAATTTGGAAAGAATACCAGCTTGTTGGATACCCTTTTAATGTTTTAAGTTACGTGAGGTAGGTTTTATGCTATGATTCCTCTAAACATGTTAATTGTTTCTGTAGTTTTATTTTTAATTTCTTTTTATTTACTCAAAATCGTTGTTCTTGATTGTTTTGATGGATGTAGGATGTATCGAGCGCTTTTGGCTGCAGAAGATTTTCCATCTGCCAAATCTATACTCAATAAAATTCCAAGAGATGATCCCGATGTTTGTCGGGTCGTCAAAGAATGTCAAAAAGCATACGATGATCTTATTTCCTTGGATAAACTTGTGAAGAAAATGGATAAGAAAGAAAAGGAGGAAGATTTATTTGACTGAGAATCAGGCATTTCCATTAAAATTTTGTAGACCAGTTAAGAAATGTGTTTTCACGAACGTTGATGTAACATTGTTCAATTCGATATATGAATTCCTAGGTACGATGCTTTTAGAGACATAGTTGATTCAATTTGTATAGTTTATTTATTCTGTTACGGTGAAATTTTAAAATGTTCCAGTTTTAACTGAAAAACACAAACTTTTCCCCTCAAGTATGACATTTTCCATGTTAATGATTGGTTTAATGTAGCGGATTTAATTATTCAAATAAAACTTGCAATGATTACTGAAACGATCAAATGAAAATCGGTTTTTTTTTTTGGGTTAAAAAATGAATCTCATATTCAAGTAAAGTAATACTCCCCATTAAAAAATATAGGTTTAAAGATAATTAATTATGTTTGTCTTATTTAATACAGTTTACTTGAAAAGTAAATGATTAGTTGGTTTATGTATTAAAAATATTTTTTAAAAAAGATAATTAATTATATATGAAAAAAATTAAAGATACTTCATATTTTTAACTTTTAATTTCAGAAAAAGAATCTTAATTTTTTGAACGGACAAATTTTTCCCAATAATTTTAAAACGGCGCTATACAACTTTTCCAAGTAAAAATTTAGAGTCAAGATGATTTACTAATGAAAACAAAAATTAGAGTTAAGATGAGATTAATTAAAGTTTCGACTATCAGAACAATACAAAGGAAAAATCGAAAAATATTTAACTGAATGCTGGACCGCTGACATTCTGTGTGTTCTTTTTTGGTCCACTGAAAAGTAGAAAGAAGATTTTCAGAAAGAGTAAGCAACAAGAATGGCTTGCCTGCACCTAGCCTTGGCCTGTTGAAGCCTTTCACTCACGGTCTCCTCCTTCACGGCAGCCTTGACCATAGCCAAATCCATTTCCATGAGCTTCAATACCCTAAAAAGCTCAGTCACCATTCTCTCTTCCACTTTCCCTTCATCCCTCAGAACCTCTGCTTCTTCTCTGGCTCTCTCTGCAACTATCTCCCCTGCTTTTGCCAAAAGATCAGTGGATCCAAACTCTTTCCCCATCAGCCCCTCAAGTTTCTCCAAGAAATCTGCAATTACATACCCTATTGGTTTCTCCACTTTGATCTCTTTTGTCCTCTTCCATCCAATTTCAAAGTTTGGAGGCTTTGCTTTTGAAAGCTCCGAACTTCGCTTTCTTCTTTCTCTGAGAATTTCAGATCTTCTTCTCTTCTCAATTGGGAATGTTTCTGGATCGTTCAGTGTGCTGGAGGAGGGATCGGGCTTGGGAAATCTGGAACAGAGCATTTAATGGAAAGTTGCTTTCTGGGTTGGATTTGAAAGAGCAATTGTGAGGCTTGATAATTTGGATTGAAATGAGTTTGATGATGAAGAGAAGGGGATGACAGGAATTGGAGGGTTGCGGAAGCCATGCCAGTGAGAGTAAAGGATAAGGTTCTTTGGAGTGAATATATAATGTCAGAAAATATCTGCTTGAAACAGTATGTAGATTGGTTGGATATATCTAGTCAGCATGGTAAACTGGTGGGAAAGTTATGACATGGACTTTGTTAAAAAGTTATTATTGATTTCCGTTTATGATATTCTCGAGAGCTTATCATTTTATTCATATTCTTTTTCTTTAATCCAAATAGTTTTTTTTATTAAAATAATATTTCTTCGTATTATTTGCTTAGTTCATACAGAAGCAATAAAAATTGAATTCATATTTTCATACAAATGAAAGGAGTTTAAAATGTTGCGAAAAAAAAATACAAAATTACCTATCATGGAAAGAATTAATGTGCCTATACACTTCAATACTGTACTCAATAAATTTGAAAATTGTTGCATGAGTTTACAAATTTCTTCTCCCTTCGTTTTAGAATATATATATATATATTTAGAGAGAGAAGAAAGAAAGAACAAATCAGTATCTTTTTCTCTTCGGAACTAAAGTCATCAATGAAGATATGAGACTACAACACTGGAGGGCTTCTTCCAATACTGTGTAATATAATTGATGGAAGAAAAGAAGAAAAGAAAAAGAGGAAATTCCTAAGAAACCACCATACTATGGCACCATCCCACAAGTTGGAAGATGCTTTCATGAGGAAGAATGTTCCTACATTCCACAGAGGGAAAAAGAATCATCATCATCATAAACATCTGCATCAGGAAAATCTGGAAGATGCTTCTCTTTTTTCAAGGGCTTGAATCCTCTGACTCTTCAGCCATGGATTCTAGCATGCTTATTACTTCAGTAGTATCATCCACATAATACTTTGCTTTGCTAGGTTTTTGTCCAACTGTGCAAGCATATACTGAACAGTTGGCAGCAAGAATATTTCTAGACATTGCACCACTAATTATTTCAAACATGTCCTCGTCTGATCTGTCATCACCAACACATAACACAAAGTCAGCCTGTGTGCCTCTCTCAGCCATTGTTGAGAAGATCTTTTCTGCAACTAATCCTTTGCTCACATCCTGCAAAGCAGACCCAGAAAAATAATCACGGATGCATGAGTTCTTCCCGCTGTATGATGCAGAATAATTATTCAGCAATTCAATTGATATTGACAATAAAAATTCAATTGGAAGTTAAAAGCTTTAATTGCCAAATTACTCCCAAGCCAGAACATAAGAAGAACGTAAGAAACGTTCCAAGGCTTTGCTGCTGACTATTCAGAATCTCGGATAGGATAAACTAGCAAAGGTTCGAGAATCCAGCGAAACTGAAAAATATTTCAATCATAAACTTGTAGGTGAACCATAAAGAATATTAAAACTTAATTCCGTACGGTTTGACAAGATCCATTTACAAACTTACTGGTTGCAGCCCCCATCAATTTGGGATAAATTTTCCAAGCTTGTAGAAAGCTCTAATATAGCCAGTTACAAAATTATCCCATCATTGAAAGTTACACGCGCGCATATAAATGATATCCAGCCTAGAACTCCCTGGCTGGACAAGGCATCCTCCCCACAAAAACTACAAAAAGGGAAATTATAATAACAGAATGAAGCCCGGCAACTCATCATTTAATGGAATCAGTGGGCATGAACAACAGTCCTAAAATAAAACATCCTCAACAAGCGTGATTGAGTTCTCCACTGCTCGCTCACACAAAGCCTTTGCCTGTTAGGCAACAAGTTATAGGAAAATTCCCTCGCGAGTAAACAGACTCAGAAGCTAAACGTGGGTGTTTTATCATGGTTGACAGACTGTCTGCTATAGGTTATAATATACTATCAAGTATCAGGAACACTTGAGAGCACAAGGGACAAATATAAATCAGGGAAAACCAAAATACGCTCCCATTAGAAGTGTGACACACAATTGAAAACTAAAAATTATATTAAACAAAATAATAAAATAAAATTACATCTTAATATATTGCAATGTTAAAGCTCTTTTCAGACATCAGTTAACTGAAATTCTAATTTTTCTCCCGAAAAAAAAAAATTAAGCATATATACCTGGGGTTTTACTTCAACAATGAACTGACCACTCTTCACAGCAACAGGTTCATTGGCCAAAACACCCTCTAGGTGATCTAGCAATTCCTTAGCCTGAGAAGATCCAAAACCAAGGTCTGCATCCCTATATTGCCAGACCAAAGCACTTTCCTTTTTTTCAATGCCAGAACCATCAGTTGCCTCTGTATATAGTTTCATTACAGGTTCAGCAATCTGCATCCATGCAAATTCGGAGCTCTTGCCACAAATTTCCCATTCTTCACTTCGGGACCATCTGATAACAAGATCAAATTTTATAAATATGAGCAACTGATATTATAGCAAATAGAGGATGGGAAGAAAGCCCAAATTCCAGGAACATTCACAACTGTCCAGCTAATTCACCAAATTACTTTACATCAAATTTTTGCTTAATCAAATCCAAAACAGAACAAGGTATTTACAAGATTTCAATTTTTTAGTTAATTTAAGGGTGCTCAAGGGTGAGTCTGCAAAATGGAGATCAAGGCACAAACTTGTGTCATAAATTCAACAGACCAAAGGATTTGCCCAATAATCAGTCTAAACGAATGCATGTTTCATAGGATATTCATGAAATAAGTAATATAAGGAAAACTACTGCAATGCAAAATATAGCTACATGATAAATGACACAGCATTTCCCAGCTTCCTAAATCATACATGACTAAATATCTGCAAAGCACATGTGAGCGCGTACAGCACACAAAAATAAGGAGAGGGATATCACACCTCAAGAAGTACCCATGTTCTGCTGCAACGCCAAGCTTTTCACAGGGAGTAAACCACTTGCTTAGGCTATCCCTCCCCCTTCCACTAACAATGAAAACTACATTTTTGGAGTCTGCACATAGCGTGTTCAAGGTGGAGATGACCTCTTGAGTAGGACTCTTACTGATGGAGTTTTGTGGCATTACAGTACCATCATAATCCAACAAAATGGCCCTGCTCCTTGCCCTCTTGTAAGCTGAAACCATAGGATCGATAGAGAGCTTTCTAAAATTGGGGTCAAGTGCCACAACTCTGAATCCAAAACTGAGCCCTATTCCCCAACATCTTTTCTTTAGAAGGTCTGAGCAAGCCCTCTCCATATCTTGCAAGAAACTGCGTGACCAATAAGCCACATCATGAGTGCTAACATACCGATAATGCTTTTCATGGCGCAACTGTTTCTCCTCATCATTCATCGAGATGGCCTCATTCATGGCCTCTGCAGTTGTTTCAACATTCCAGGGGTTGACACGGATTGCCCCACTAAGTGATGGAGAACACCCAATAAATTCTGATATTACAAGCATACTCTTCTTCAATCCACTAACATCAGAACATGATTCAGAATCAGATATTCCCTGTCTACAAGCAATATATTCATAAGGAGTCAGGTTCATTCCATCCCTTACAGCTGTAACAGCTACACACTCAGCAATCCTGTAATATGCAACTTTTTCAGTGATTGAAACTGCTCTATCAATGAAAACAATTGGCTGATAACCAGGCCGCCCATAGGCTCTGTTGATCCTGCTGCAGCTTTCTTGTATCTCATCTAGGATTTCATCTAGATGTATCCCTCTGCCCCTAGGTGGATTTACAATCTGTATCAGCACAGCTCTTCCTTGCCATTTAGGATGTTGTCTGAGCATCTGCTCCATAGCCAAAATCTTCAAATTAATTCCCTTAAAGATGTCCAAATCATCAACACCAAGCAGCACTGTTTTTCCTTCGTATTCTTTTTGGAGTTCCCTAACCTTACTCTCCTCATCTGTCATTTTCATAACTGATTCAATTCGACCCATGTGAACTCCAACTGGCATAATCTTTACACTGATAGTCCTTCCATAATATTCCAATCCTAAGTAGCCCCTCTTTGACTGATACTCCAGACCCAACATACGACTGCAACAAGAAAGGAAATGACGAGCATAATCAAAGGTGTGAAAACCAATAATGTCAGAGTTAAGTAAAGCTTTTAGTATCTCTTCCCTCACAGGAAGAGTCCTATATATCTCTGATGATGGAAAGGGACTATGAAGGAAAAATCCCATTTTAACCCTGTTAAACCGCCTTCTTATAAAGGTTGGCAGAACCATCAAATGGTAATCATGAATCCAAATATAATCATCCTCTGGGCTAATTATTTCAACTACCTTCTGAAAGAAAAGTTTATTTGCCAACACATAGGCTTCCCAGTAAGAGCGGTCAAAGCGCTGGCTTCTATCAGTTGAAAGTGGTAACATGTAATGAAACAGAGGCCACAACTGCCTTTTGCAAAATCCATCATAAAATTTGTCCAATACATTACGGGGCAGAAAAGTAGGAACACAGTTGAATTTTTCTAACAAATACTGTGATACATCATCCTGTTCGGCAGGATCAACATCAACCCGCAGTGAACCGACGTAGAGAACCTCCATATCTTCTGGAAAACCATCCTTTAGCTGGAAAAGCAATGAGTCCTCATTCCAACTGAAACTCCATCCTTTGTTGTCCTCTTTTCGCTTTCCTTTCAAAGGAAGCTGATTTGCCACAATGATAATCCGATCATTCGAAGCAGCTGATGGATTATCAGAAGAAACACTCTGAGTATCGTCAAGTTCTGAGATCATCCCAGGAACACTCATAGCCCTTGGCATCCGCCTCCGTTCCTTAAATTCTTTACCCATAGCTGGGAAATTCCCTGAAGCCAAATCAAGAAGATTGTATATGATTTTGACATCATCTTTGCCTCTTTCTTATATGATGAAATCCCACAAAACTTTTCCTCTCTGCAAACAGAGGGGGAAAAAAGAATCGAAACCACAAACCTGTCAGTCCTTAGTGACAAACAAATTCAAAGCTACAAATGCTTAGTCTTTATATAGTTACGGGAAAACAAAAGTCCATCAAATGATAATCTTGTGCATTAAATAATGGCGTGTCTCTTATTCTTAGAGAAGTAAAGAGAAAAACAATCGTCATAATGGAGACTCATTGTGGCAGATATTCTAATCTTACAGTATGCAAAAAGCCCTAGATTCTTGGCCCCCACATATGGTTTACATCACAATGAGCATAGGAATTAATCTCTTTAGCATAAAGCATTCCAGCAATAAAACTCCAGTCCAGTCATTCCAAACAAAACAAGATCAGTGACCATTCTACAAAGACACAAGCGCTCGACGATGATATAGATACGTTACCTGCAACCAAAATACGCTCACAAACATATATAACCACTCGAACAGAGAGTCCAAGAACACCAAAAAGATTGCGATTGCCCAACAACATTGGAAATTGAAACTAACCTCGCGATTGTAGCAGAAAGTAATTGTTATCGTTGCTGTGGAAGGTTGAGGCCCAATTCAAGGAAAATTTTCAAATAACAAGAAAAATCTCGCCTGTTCTGTATTTACAAGATCTCCCTCCCCTTCCTCTTGGTTTCTCGTCTCCCCCTTTAAGAAAACACTAACACTACGCAATGAAATGGGAAAGCTCAAATGAATATTCAGAGAACTATATTTCACAGATTATCGTTCCTATGGAAGTGAACGAACATGATAATAAAAAATGAACCAAAATAAATCAGAATTTATTTTTTTTTTTTTCTTTGCACAATTTAATCGTGGAGATTATCGGCAGTTTCGTGCAAGTGCCACCTAAAGAGGTTGACGCGTAAGCGTCACAGCCAATGGGAGGCACGTGTTCAGTCAAGGGGGGCAAATTGGTAATTGTAATGAATAGAGAGGGTATCAAGTGGCCAATAGGGAGGGACAGTGACAAAGTAAATTTGGGGAGGAGGTGAGGTTATCAAGTACTTCAAAAGAAACTGGATAAGGTTGCGCCAGCCGAGCTAAGTGCCAGCTGGCACAACCCGAGGATTGACCACGCGCTCTGCACGTTCCAGCTCAGATTCTGACACGTACGCGGACACGGTAAGGACCGTAGTGGTACCACGCCAAGCTACTTCTGGCAGCCACTTTTTTAAATTAATATTTAATATTTAATAATTTTTTTAAAAAATGAAATCTTGACCTGATGATCAGGTCTTCGCTTCTTAAATCGGATATTAAGTTATACATGTTACTATATTTATTATTCATATCCTTATGTTTTAATTGAACGTATTTAAAATTTTACAGTAAAAATAATTATAAACTCAAGTTTGGTTGCTAATATAAGAATTTTCTTAATAAATAATTTATAAATGTTTCTAGATTATCAGATTCAGGCCCATGCTCTCAGGTACAATTCACTCAGACTTTTCTTAAACAAATATGTTTATCTTAAAAGCTTTTAATTTAGTTTTCAATATCTAAAAATGCATACAAAATTACAGTTTAAAATTTTTAAATTTGAATATCTCATTCTAATTTCTTTCAAAAAAATTCTAGTATATAAGACATTCCAAACATGTTTTGGGGACAGTCTCTTCGTTAATAGATGATAACAAACAAATATTTTTAAATTTTTATTTTAATGATGTATTTGCCCTTTCTTAGACTATGCATAACAAATTATATTTATTTACTAACCCTAAAGTGACATATCCATTGGGTTTTATGGTAAAAGTAGAAGGTATATGGGAAACAGTTCATGGTGACTCAGCACAGTCCAAAAAAAACAAGAAAAAGCGCAAACGGAGAAGTGGGGTAGTTAACTGTTTTACTTTGTAAAGTTACTTTCTTTTTTCCCATTTATAAATCACTTTTATATGTTTCATTAAAATTTAAAAAATAAATTTTATTAATTTTATCTTAAAATTTAATAAATTTTTAAATTTATTTTTTAATAAAAATAAAAAAATTAATAATTTTTTACAGCACTGATAAAATATAAATATAAACATAATAAGTAGAAAAGATGAACATAACAAATAATAAAGTATCATATAAATATGATTAAAATTAATTTTTCTCTATAATATAAATAAAACTAGATGAACATTTAGAAATATAAATGTCCAAGGGTTAGCATATGTTAAAAAAACCAATGGGAGAAAAATGGAACTTAAAAATACCAAATATTGTGATGATTATATTTAAAAAAATTAATCTTTTAATTCTTTAATTTTTAACTCACTTATAACTCACTCCTTTAATTGTGACTTGTTGCAACTCAATCATTTAACTTTAACTTTCTGTGACTCAATCCTCAATTTTTGACTCACTCATAACTCAATCATTATTTTGTAAAATTTTTAAAAAATTATCCTTATCAAAATGAGATATAAAAGAAATATTCATATCTTGCTCTAAAATACTTTCTTTTTACTCTTTAATATGAGATTTAAGCTATCATAAAAAAAAAAGAACCAACAAAAGTTAAAAACTGAATCATAGATAAGTTAAAAGTTGAGAGATTGAATCATAATGAGTTACGATTGAGTTAAAAGAGTTAAAAGTTAAAGGATAAAAATATTAATTTTTTTATTTTAAAAAAATGGTCTCCTAGTCAAAACCTTTAAACAATGACAAAGACTAATTATTAAGGACAACTATTATTGTCTCCCACATAAGTAATTTAAATTAAAAAAATCTCATAAAGTCACAAAATTATTTTATTTATGGACTCACAAGCATTATCAATCACTACTTGGTAATTGTTAGTAAATTATTCAGTTGACAATTAAACAAAAATAATTAAATAATATTCAGCAATAATTGACAATTCTAATAAATAGGACAAGACTTCACAGTGATTTTATAATTTTATAAAAAATTTATATTTATTTATTTTGCATGTGTAAGATCTGAAATGATTTTTCTTGAATATTATCCCATAAAAATATTAAAATTTTAGTATTCTTTTTTTAAAATATAAGGCATTTTTAACATAATCTCACCCAATAAAGTAGTTACTTAATTTTAAAGTAATTTTATCTTTTCATATTTATCACTAATAAATATTTTATAATAAAAATAAAGTTATTTATCAATAGGAATACTTTAAAAAAAAAGACAATGATTACACTTAAAAGATTTAACATAAAAAAAAATATGTGGCAAAACAATGTGTAATGGCCATTATATTATAATATTAAAAATAATTACAACCTTCCGCATGAAGGTTAAGCTAATTCCTCTTGATCCAAAAAAAAAACAAGAAAAAAAGAAAAACACACACACACACACAAACAAAACAAAAGAGGTTAGACTGGCTGTCTTGTAATCTAGGTTGAAAATTCGACGATTTGACAATTGACAACAGTTCATGAAACGGCAAAAAAATGGAGATAACAGTTAAGTTTCAAAAAAAAATTAATTTAAATTTTTAATAAATTTTTTTATAAAATAAATGATAAATATCAATTGAAATAGTTATAAATAAATTTTTTTATAATTTAAAAATTATATTTGAGATTTAAATACTTTTTTGTAATTGAAAATTTTGAATTTATAATAATTTTGATTGATATTTTAAATTATTAAAAAAAACTATTGAAGACGCAGCTGATAATAATTTAATGTTTTGAGGCTTAATTGTTATGCTTTTAAAAAGTTAATCATATCAAAATTGTATATTAATAATATGATAAAAGAAATATTTCAATCGTTTAACAAGTTAGAACATATTCATTGTTATTATTCCAGTGAATGTTTGTAAATAAGAACTATTTGAATATCTTCTTTTTGAGCTGAGACTAAGAATGAAACAAAAAAATTAAAGAAATTGAAATGTTGTGAGTCTCATAAATCTAAAAGTAAATTATGTTTGGTCAAAATTGATTGTTGGATAATCTGTTTTTTATAATAGAGGCTACCAATGCTGCTAAAAAAAGTTCGTGGCTAAATTTTTACTTTTACACATGTTGAGGTGAATGTCATGTATCATTTGTGGGCCTCATACAATACTCGTTCAATAAAATTAACAATACAGGTTACTGATGTTCTGTTTTTAAAAATTAAAATTTATTTTATACCACCTGATAGTATAGGCTAGCCAGTATTCTTAAAAAAAATAGTTAATGACCAAATATGTGTCTTTACTCCTTATTTTAAAAGTAGCCTTTAGCACAATTTATTGTTTAGACAATTGCATTCCATTATGTTTATCATGATCACTTTTATCTTTATTAATTATACATATTAAGAATTTTAAAATTTCATAAATTTGAAATATTAAATTAAAAATTTTTAAATTAAAATTAGAGAATTATAATTCTAAGTTCTAAACCTGTGTTGTTGAACAACCCCAAAAGTGAAGAAACAGGATCTTTCTATGTTGGAAACTTGTCTGGGTCAATGAAAACATGACTATGATTCGGTGAAGCGAAAGTTACTTCCCAACCACTCTCATGGCTTCTTCCAAAAAGAGAAATTACCTAAAAAGTATACATATAATTAGGCAATGTCAGCATTTCAATGCCCGCCAAAATCATCAAACCCATTAAAAACCAACACTCAAAAATATTCCATGCTTGTATTCTAATAAAATTATATTCTAACTCCTGGTATATAAAAATAAAACTCTCTTAACTGAAATTTAACATCAGTGTTATCACTAAAGCCAGCCAGCAGCGTGGTTTAAAAATATAAAATATTTTTTTGTGAGATATTAAAAAATATAAGATATTTTAAGTCTTTCAAAATTCTATTAATGAGTTTTTTTTTCCAAAAATTACCTTAATTAAGATATAATTAATAAGATTTTCTAATTAAGATATCATATTAAATGAGGATAAATAAAAAAAGAATATAATTTTAAAAATAATTAACTAATTTATTTGAAGTATAATTTGGTTAAAAGTGTCTTATAATATTGAATGGAGGAAATAATAAAATCAACAACAATAGAATACCCAAAAAAAAAACTAATATTAGTAAAAAGAATATTGAAACATTTAGTCCTTAAAATTTGTATCAGTTATCAGTTTGGTTACTCAAAATTAATTTTCATTAATATGGTTTTTTTAAGTTTGTCTTAATTATTAATTTGCTCTTTATTGTTTTAAATAGGAGTTAACACGTTAAAATCTACATACATAGATAGTGGAATATTAACGGTAACTATGTATATTGATGAAAAAAAAGTATAATTATTTATATTAAAAAATGAGATTCAGAGTCTTAAAGAACTGAAAGAACAAAACATGACATTAGCGATTAAATTTATATAAATTAAATTGATTTGAAGCAAATTTATTTGCATTTATTTGCTGTCAAGTTTTCAACATATTTTTTACATTAAATCAATTTGAGTCACTAAACATTTTGTTATCTCCTAATAAAATCTATTTGATCCGAAACTGAGAAACTCTACTCTCTCGGTTTTCAAATATAAAAGAAACTATTTTATGTTTCTTTGTTTTTATTAAGCAAAAGTACATCTTTCAAGCAACATTAATTACTCTTTTTTTTTCAAATTTTCCCTCACAAATGAATAGCATTATTAAACTAAAGGAAAAAACAAATATAAAAAAATATTTTAATCCAAACATGTCAATTTCAGACATTATTACTCTCTATTTCAAATTAGCGATAACACCAATAAACCTTATTAGACCGATGAAGACTTATTTAAAAAATGATAAAAAAAAATCTAATAATCTGAGACTACTATAATCAACCAACCTTATTAAACCAACAACCCACGTAAATTGGTTGAAATTAAGGAATAAAATAAATCCTGGATAATTAAAATTTTAAATAAAATTAAGAAATAAGAAATCAAAGAAGACAATTAAAAAACATGTTTTGCACTGCGAATCGCAGGGCTTTACCCCAAAGGGAGCCCTTCCAGAAATTCTCAAGGGCCTAAGCCAAACCCAGGCCCAAGAGGGGGTTTGGAAATAGTTTTCAACCAGCAATAGACGCGCCTCGGTTAGAACCTCACTAGCTGCGTCATTGCCCCAAGCGCAAAGATGCCGTTCCAATTTCCCTGCCCTCGCCTTTTATATTCCAACTCGCTGCCTCCTTTCTTCTTCCCCTCGATGTGGGGCTTCACAGCTCATGTATCTCCCCATTTAAACAGCTTGAGAAGCGCACACAAATCCATAAGAAAATCATCCCCTTAGTCCTTTCAAATCCCGAAGAGACTATATCCAGGCCTGATTATTTATTTATTTGGCTTCGGTGAAAGGAAAGCAAGGAAAATAAGGGAATATAGTTCAAAATTAGGGCTATGGGGAAGCTGTCGAAGATTATCATGGTTCTCTTTTTCCTGTGATATTTCTTCTTCTTTCCCTCTCAGACGTTCCCTTCTATCTTTGGCTGCTATCCCTTCATCCTTCCCATGGTTCTTCTTCCTTACTCGAAGATTTTCTATGTCATTATTGTTCTTTAGTGCAGCTACTGTCCGTGACTAATCTAGGATTATTTTTTAAGGGGCAACATTTCACCTTCTTTAACTTATTTGGGGCAAGATTTAGCTACAAAATTTTTATAACCAATTTATAAAGCATGGTTTCAAACATTTACGATGAGGTACTTATTTTCTCAGGAAACACCCTGCCAGTCCCTCTAAACTCGTCCCTTGCTACTGTGCTTTGAACTCACCTATTCACCTAATTCTCTTAAAATGTGTACTGAAACTCAAGTTATTTCACAGAAATATTCAGTGTTAATACTTCTCTTGCTATTTAGCTAGGTCCGATCATAATTCTTCTCAACTCTTCTTAATTTATCCCAAATTACTATTTCCTTTGTTGATTATGCATCCTATCGTTTTCATTTTTTCATTCTTCGTACATGCATTTCGATTTTTGGAAGGTCTTTTTTCGGGTGTATTACGGGGCAGCCTTAAAGAACAAAGTAATCTCTCCCTCCCTCCCCTCTCTATCATATTTGAACAATAACATATTTTAGACAAATTATGATATAATAATTGGTTTAAATATTTTAATATTTTGTTTATTCTGATTTGGAGGAGAGAGAATCTAGCTTTTCATATGAGCATCATATTACCTCTTGCAGTTGGTAAAAAAAAAAAAAATCATCAAACTTGTTTTTATCTATTGAGTGTTTGTTAGTGGTCACAACATACTTATTTGCAGCCTTCTATTCATCCCTCTTATGCCTCTCCTTACTCTGTGAACTGTAGTGTTGGAATACCAAATTCTTTGATTTGGAATGATAAAATGAGGAAATATAAAATTAGAAGAATTACTTTTTGCTTAGATTTATTTTATTGCATTTCAAAGCTATTACCACAAAATCAAATTGTTTTAATTTCTTTTGTATTCAAGCTACTTTAACATTGATCAAGGCTCGCTCTCCCCCCCCCCAAAATGCTGTTGCAATGAGCTTTTTCATAGATTATTATCAATGTATCATCTATTACAATTTTCAATACAAGACATTCATGAGATAGTTTCTCTATTAAACATGGTTAAATCCAGTGTTTCTCATAGCCTTTCTTTTTTATTACCTTGTTGTATTTTAGATTTTTTTTTCATTACTCCTGGATTGTAAATCTTTGTTTTCTTTTTAATGATATTATTGATCTTTTTATCAAAAAATTAAAAGCAAGAATGATTTTTTGAATAAAATGGAAAATTGTTTAAAATTAATATTATTAATATACATTAAAAAAAACCAAATATCGCGCTCAGTTCCAGCATGATTAATTTCAGACTTCAAGCACGACACGGAGTCTACAGTTAGCTTTTTAAAAAATGAAAGGGAAAGCAAAAGCATACTCAGAATCTATTGCGATAATTTGATAATAATGATGGCCAGTAGGAAAAGAAATTGACAACAATTTTAATTCCTAAAAGGAATTACGAGTTTTGATGTGTGTATAACTGTATTATTAAATTATGATTTTGGCCTTGGGCTTATTTTTTGGGTCGAACGCGGGAGAAGCACGTAGAAGAAGCGTTTGGCCGCTTGGTTCTCCACTACACGATTCCCAGAATCTAGCGCATAGCGTAACAGTTGAAATCTTGTAATTCTATTTTCCCCTCATTTTTAAACCTAACACTCTCTTTTATGCACGATCAAAGCTTTGGTGCTCCGTGAATTTTTCAGTGACTTAACCAACAAATCTGTCTCAATAAAGTCGAAATCCCATCATATTTTAAAATCACACATCCCTTCTTCTGTTCTTGTTCCTTCCCTCTGTAACCATCTCCTTTTTTTGAATTTCGAATCCGAATTGAAGAACGGGGAAGTAGGGCAAGCATATACGCTCTTATGGCTGGATACAGGGCTGATGATGAGTATGATTACCTGTTCAAGCTTGTTCTGATTGGCGACTCTGGAGTGGGTAAATCCAACTTGCTCTCCAGATTCACCAGGAACGAGTTTAATTTGGAGTCCAAGTCCACTATAGGTGTTGAGTTTGCTACCAAGAGCTTGAATATTGATGGCAAGGTCATCAAGGCTCAGATTTGGGATACTGCTGGCCAGGAAAGGCCTGTTCTTCTCCCTCTCTTTTTTCCCCTCCTTTTTTATTATTTTTTTTTGTTGATTCGATGGGATTTTGATCGATTCATGTGTTTTAAAGTTTATGGTTATTTGACTGTAGTCAAAATAGTTAACGATTGTGATTATTTTTTTGAGTTATGTTAATTTCCATATTACTTTGCTACCGGGAAGTATGTTCATCTCTTCGAAATTTGCGAGTATTAAGTCGGATATGGGGGTTCTACGAGTCTTCCTCCTTCCCATTTCTGAATTCTTTGAGTTTCTAATGACGCCAACACTCTCTTGTGGATAGCAAGACTGTCTTTGTGATTTAATTTGAGGTGATCAAGAAGGTTATTTCTTTGTTGGACGGGTTATCACAGTTTTTATCTTTCTAGGTTTGATATCTGACTTTCTGTTGAGATTATTTTATGATTGTGATTGTGAATTTTTTTTAATTAACACACCCATATTGCTTTAGTGCTGGAAAGCGTGTTTGTTTCTTCAAATTTTATGAATTTTAAGTTGGATGGGTTGGTTTATGATACAAATGACATGGATACCGCTATAAGAATAGCACGGTTATCCTTGTGTTGTAACTTTAGATTATTAATAAGGTTATTTATTTTTAGGCATGCTTTATAAGTTATAACTACTTTATCTTGAAACCGGTGGGTTTGACAGGCTTAGTTCGCATTTCTTTGGAAAACGAGTCGCATTTCATCTGAAATGAATATTGATGTATGCCTTCGGATTCTGAAGATTACTCATGTGAAATATAGCATTCAATCCTTTATTCACAGTGGTACATGGATACTTTATTTTTTAGCCCGTTATCTCGTAATGTAGCGACGCCTTTCAGTTTGAGCTACTCAACATCTGGTATTAGCCACCAGCTAATCAATAGATTTAACCTCAAGTACTCCATTGGCGCCACCAATCCAAAAATATGGCTTTTCTTGTTCAGTCAATTTTAGCTAGCTTTTGTTCCCCGTTAAACATTTGGTTTATGTCAGTACATAAGCGTTTGGTGAGAGATAAATTACAAAAATTTCTGATTAATTTGCCTAATCTTCTCTTCATTTATCCTATTTCTGACTAAGATTTCAATGACGAGAAAGGAAAAGAAATTGTCTGACAAGATGACCCCTTTCTAATTCTTTGTCCTGTGGACATGTTACTTCTTCAATCTACACATATATTGGCCTCAAAACCATATTGCCTGCGGAAGTCAGAATCATTTGAAGATTTTTGGATTTCTCATAAAGATTTTCATGAGTCTTGACTCTCAAGCTAATGGATTGCTTGGAGATTCTTGATCTGAGATCCAGCTGTATTATGGATGTGATCTGATGGCTGCGAGGGCTTTTGAAGGATCATTTTATGATGGCTTCCTTTTCACTTGCCTCTTGCTGTGTGCATAGCAGCATTTGTAGTTCTATACATTCTAATGATGGACTTGAGTAATGTTTGGATGGGCCTTTCTTGAAGAAGCTTAAATTTTTTTTTTTTTTTAATGAGTTTAGAAAGTTCTTCCAAGCTTAATGGTGCTTCTGGTAAAATGCTGTAAACATCTTTGTTGGGCTCTTTTAAGAAGCTTTCTCTTTGCTTTTCTGTTGACAAGAGATCTTTGTGAGGGTAGCACCTATTGAGGAAAAAATGGTAGAAAATCGATTGAGATGGTTTGGGCATGCACAAAGAAGATCACGGGAAGCACCAATGAGAAGAGTGGAACATATAACTTTGAGCCCAATTAAGAGGGGTAGAGGAAGGCCTAAGAGAACACTCTTGGAAGTTGTTGAACGCGATCTCTTAATTAATAATATTCCTAAAAGCTTGATAAATGATAGAGTACAATGGCGTCTTGCAATCCATGTAGCCGACCCCACCTAGTGGGATAAAGGCTTGTTGTTGTTGTTGTTATTTAGGGTTGTTGTTGTTGTTGTTGTTGTTTAGGGCTGTTGTTGTTGTTGTTGTTTAGGGCTGTTGCAACATTCACAGCATTCTAGTCTTGTGGAATCTTCTTTTTTTTAAATCTTAGATGTTCTTTATATTTTGAAGGAAACAAAAACTAGAATAAAGACAGTCTTTCAACTTCTACCTAGCAGACAGAAAGAGTTGACATCTTCCTGGTGGAAATTGCTTCTTCTTTCAGAGTATAAAAAGGTTGGATTAAAAAAAAAATTGATGCCCAGAATTGCACAAAAAATAAAAAGACAGCAGAGGGACAAGATGCTGCGGTGATGCAGTGCTTTCCGACACTGCTGAACAGACAATCAATATTTGTCATTTGGTCTCCTGGGAATTTTTTAGCACATCAATCAGGGCTTTCTTTCAAGCTTTTTAGTTTCATACAATTTATGTGATGGCTTTTTCTGGAGTTCTGGAATTTTTTTTTAATTTAATGTTTCAATAATTTGCAGTAGATGCAACCATCAATCACCCTTACATTCCAACACTTTTCTGTGCTATATGGAATAATTTTGTGTAAACATGTAGTCCATAATGCTTCCTGTGGACAAAGTCTAATTTGTCTCTGATTTGATGTTTACAATTGTTAATCCGTTCTATACTAATGTGTCTGTGTAATGGTTGATTTGTAGAATAGTGAATTAGTGCTGTAGTGCTGCAAAACTAGGATAGAAAGTATGGCCATGAATTTTCTTCCATGTTGTGTTTGATTGTCTACTTGGGATGGACATGGCCTTCGCTCGAGGGAATACTTCTCAGACATGGCATTGAATTTTCTCTTATATAAGTGGCTCATTATTCTAACACCCAACATCGCATCTCACAATAAGTTTCGTCGGTGGAAGTTCACCTGGCGAACTCAGTTTGCTCTGGAGGAGTGAAATCAAATATTTATTTATTTTTTTGGGGTCCTGCAGCATGCTAGTTTAATATAGCCCATGTTCCTTTTCCCCTAAATTAGTTCAGGAAAAGTATCGGAGTTTATTTCAACAAATATCAATTTATGATGAAATTTGACTTGGTCCTATCTGTTTATATTATAGGTATCGAGCCATAACAAGTGCTTACTACCGGGGAGCTTTTGGTGCCTTGCTTGTGTATGATGTAACACGTAGTGCAACATTTGAGAATGCTTCAAGATGGTTGAAGGAGTTGAGGGACCATACTGACCCCAGCATTGTAGTGATGCTTATCGGGAACAAATCCGACCTTCGACATCTCATTACAGTCTCAACAGAAGATGGAAAATCTTTTGCGGAGAGGGAGTCACTCTACTTCATGGAGACATCTGCTCTGGAAGCAACCAATGTTGATAATGCATTCACAGAGGTTCTTACTCAGATATACCACATTGTGAGCAAGAGGGCGGTTGAGGCTGGGGACCATGGAGGTTCTTTGATGGTCCCATCAAAAGGACAGACGATAAATGTCAAGGATGATTCTTCAGTTTTCAAGAGATTCGGATGCTGCACAAGCTAGATGGTCTCCCCTGTGACAGGTGATTTTCATAGCCTGTGTGATTTTGTAAATGCTTACTTGGGAATTGTGATTATATTTGTTAGAATAAGACTGGTGCTTAATATTGTTTGGACGATGTACTACATGCCAAATCCTTGGATTTAAAGTCTCTTAAAACAGTCTCTATGAGGACATCTTTAGAAACAAATGTCTGCTCAGGTCTTATCATGGGTCAAAACTTCTGCTTACCTTGCCAGGATTGTGATTTTTCCATCAATTGACATGCCCATAGTAGCAGCTTGATTCTGTGTTTCCTAACCTCTTCTTTTGCGATTGAAATCCTTGTCTTTAATTTTTCAAAGGTCTTGATCAATTTAAGCTTATAAGTATTTCAAATTGTTCAGCACCCAAAAAAAAAAAAAAATGTTCTAGAAGAATTGCTGTCTTGTCAATGAGATTATTCTGGATGGAATTGGTGTATCAGCCTCTTTATCTTGAGATGAATAACTTCATTTTGTTGGAATTATACAACTGTTGGATATTTAGTGCAAGCAGCCAAGCACTGGCCCAAGTTTTCCCGACTTTCTCCGCCTACGCGGCATTTAGATTACTTGTGTGTGTGTGTTTTTTTTTTAAAGAAATTTGGTATATATTGGCATTTCAATGTCAAAATGCTATTGAATTATGAAACTTGCAAGTGCATAAATCTAGTAGCCATTTTGTTTATTTTGATGATTAATATAATATAAAATATAAGATTAGGACAATATAACTCATCCTGGTCAGGCAAAAGACAATATGACTCATCTTAAAATCTATATGTACTGGAAATGTGCCTAATTATTATAAGTATAGGAGTCTAAATATTGCTTTGGCATTTCATTTGGAAAAAATATTTGTTAATATGAACGTCATATTTTATTATAATTTATGGCCGGCTTGGTAGTAGGCAATTGGAAGAAGGGAAGGGGAAATGAAAGTAGAATCCAAAATTATATTTATTTGGTATGCATGAAGAGGGTTTCCCTATAAAATTTGAGTTCCATAAAAATTGATGGAATTGGGTTTCACACCCAGACCCATAGAACATTAGTTCCACTTCACTTCTTGACCATTTTACCCCAGCACCCCCCCCCCCAAAAAAAAAAAACAAACCAAGGACGACCTGAAGATGATGGAAGACCATGGCGTTGACCGACGATGACACATCGTCTGACGACAGCTCCAAGAAAGGTAATGGCTATGGCTCGCATTTGAGAACTCATCACTGGTGGCTTCTCCTCCTGTCATATTTCGATCGCCATTATTCTCGAGGCCTAGGCTCACCAGAAATCACGGCAAAGGAGCCTTCAAATGGTGAGGAAGAGCCTCGGCGATGCGGCATCGATGGCTCAATGCCATTCGTGACCATACCGACTCAGCGAGGATGCTGTGTCAGCAAGGGGGACTTTAGGTCGTGCGAACTGTGGGTTTGTCGTTCTCTGTCTCCGGCGACTACTTTAGTACCGTGGTAATGCCATCCTTGGGTTCGAAAGATCTGAAGCATCCTCCTTATTCTTTTGACTTTATTTGGATTTGCTTTTATGTCACTTCCTGCAAATGGTATCCCTCCATCTTTTGAACGTCTATGAAGCATCAGCCCAAAAAAAATATTCTAAGGGCTTGTCTGAATACCTTTTTAGAATTAATTTTAAATTCAAAATTATAGTTTTAAAAAATTTTATCCAAATATTTTAATTTTTTCAAACTTCATTTGGTTTCCAAAACTCCATTTGGAATAAGTTAAAATTTATTTCATTTTAAAAAATTAATATAATAATCAATTTTTAAAAATTTATCCAAACACCATCACATTTTAATAATCAATTTTTTTCTTAATCAATTTTTTTCAATTAAAATTCAAACACACCCTAAAGATATGATGTAACGTAATAGTAAAAATTATATCATACTTTCATTCACATATCAAACCTATTTTTAAACTTTATTTTTTATTTACACTTCTATCTCTATTTTTATTTTCACCTCACCTTTATCAAAACCATTTTTCCATACCAAACTCTATATATATATATATATATATAGTTTTGACTTTTTGATGTCATTATCTCATTAAATTTGTTAACAAAATATTAATAAGTTTGTCGAATGAGTAGACATAATGTTAAGAAATATATAGTTATTTGTAAGTTAATGGTTAATTTATGAAATGATGCTTAATTTAGTGTAATTTTGAAATAGCTGAAATAACAGAAAAAACTACTAAAGGGCCTAAATTTCAAATAATTTTAATTATAATTCATTTCATTGCTTATATTTTTAGAATAATTTTTTTGTTTGCACCCAAATTGTAAATTTAGAGACTTAGGCTCAACTCAATTTAATTGACTTTAAAATAATTAAAGAAAATATTTATGAAGCCTTAGTCATTAAGTCAAAACCATCCGCACTCCACCCATGATGAGTGATTATGATAGACAAAGTATTTCTTAAATTCAAGAAAATTAACGATTATGGGGCTTGAGCACCAAGCCAAGATCATCTATAAATAGAGAAGCCATTCTCAACAATCAGTATCAGTATCAACAAATTATCAATTTTAAACTCCGCGTTTGCTACTTTATTTTATTATTTTTTTATCATACAATTTTAGTCTTTATTTTTTCATTGTACAGCAAACTTAGCCCTCCACTTCTTTTTTTAATTAATATATCTTTGCTTCCTTGCATCTGCATTAATTTTCTTTACTTGATATTTTCACATCCGAGTGAATTATGATAAGGGAGCCTGTATTCCCTGCATTTGAATAAAAGTCATGTTCTTCAATCCTTTTTGAGACCCCGTATCTTTGGCCTACCTCGTGACACCCCTTTTTACTTTTATCGAATAACTTTTGGCATGCTCGGTGGGACTCGTGTGAAAAGAATGTCTAAAACACATAAGGATTAATATGTTGTTGGAAAGAATAGACTTGAGTCTTATGACTTAGAGAATGTTTGCACATGCAGAACGTGAAGTACGAGCTAACGAGAGGCGAAAAGCTCTGTTGCAAACTATGAAGGATGGGCTAAGGAGCATCTCTGCTATGCTGTCTAAAGTGTCCTAAGAGCAAGCTTCAATTAGCTTGCACCTTCAGAGAATAGATGGATTCGAGGGGCAATCTCTTAAAGTGCCCTTCGATCAAAAGATCAATAATGAGGCTATAACATTCCTCAGATAAATGATAGGTCAAATTTAATAGTGAGCCCGTTCAGCCACAAGAGCCAAAGCCATTGGGGCCAACACCATAGGGATTAAAGTCACAAGGGCTAGCAAAGCAATAGAGGCCAAAGTCACAAGGGCCAACACGACAAGGGTCAAAACCACGAGGGCCATCATTAGAGGGCTAACGCCACGGGGGCCAAAGTTAGAAAGGCGACTTTACAAGGGCACTTTCTATAAGAGTTCTCTCTTAAATGGCTCTTTCCATAGGGGTCTTGTAACGGTTAGATTTTATAGAACTAGTTCTTAAAGTTCAAAAACTTAAAAGGCCAATTTTAAAACTAGCTCTTGAGGTTCCAAACTTAGAGAAACTTGATTTTAAACTAGACCACATGGTCCTTAATCCTTAATCATCAATTAGAATGAGAATGAGCCAATCCTTCAAGACATATCCATACAAAATTGGCTTACGAAGGCTCTGGCCAATTTATATGCGAGGGCTATTTTTTGCACTCAATTTATAAATTTAGAGGCCTAAATTCAACTCAATTTAATTAACTTTAAAATAATTTAAAAAATATTTATGAAGTCTTGACCACTACATTAAGACCATCCGTTCTTCACCTATGATGAGTGGCCATGATAGAAGAAATGCTTTTTAAATTTAAGGAAATTGACGATCATAAGGCTTAGGCACCAAATCAGAATCATCTATAAATAGAGAAGTCCTCCCTTAATAATTAGCATCAATATCAACAAACTATCAATCTCAAACTTCACGTTTGCTACTTTATTTTATTTTTTCTTTTATTATGCAATTTTAGTTTTTATTTTTTATTGTGCGGTAGGCATAGCCCACCACCTCTTTCTTTAATTAATATATCTCTACTTTCCTGCATTTACATTAATTTTTGTCACTTACATTCTCACATCCGGATGAACAGCTCGAGTTTCTCGTATTTAAATAGAAGTCAAATTCTTTCATCTTTATCCCGTATTTATGGCATGCCTTGCAAGACCTTTTTTTTATTTTTGCCGAACATTTTCTTACTAATAAAATGTAATAGTAAACAAACACATGCCCAAACATGTTAACACATGGCTATGTGAAACTTATTGCAATAATTTACATATCATAAAAAAGAAAAAGACATAACCATAAATATTATTAATCAAAATGTACAAGAACAAGGGGCATGAAAAGAAGAGACTTGAATTGTAAAATACTATTTTATTTAAAGAATTTTTATGACTTTCTTTTTTCCCATTTTCTATTGCGCACGACTTTCAGGCGGCGAATAGTATATTACCACTAGCTGTGCTGGACAGAGACCGAAGAAAAAGGCCCTGCCCTATTACGTTACCCTGTGATCCCACCGCACTGGATTGCGCTCGTTCTCGGAATATTCCTTTTCCGGAAAACCACAGAACATTCCGGCAGCTCGCCGAGATCCGCGAACAGCGACTCGTCTTCATCCTCCCTCATCGTCATCAACGCCATATCCTCCAACTCCCAGCCGAAGATCGGGCTTTCCAGGACTCTCGTTGTGGAGGCCATGTCATCGAACCATCCGAATTGGCCATGGTGGTCGCCGAGCAGAACAGCCGAGTCGCTGTCGAGTTTTAGATCGGGATGGCTGGCGAACACGGTGAGATTCTCTTCCGATTCGACTTTAGAGTCCAATTCGGTAGGTACATCGTCGTTGACGTCAGCGGCAGCGGCTGATGTGGCTGCAGAGGAGGAGGAGGAGGAGGTGGCGGAGTGAAGCTTACCAGGCGGGACGGAGTGGTTGTGGTCGTGAGCGTAGGTGACGACGAGCTTCGTGGGGTCCACACGGCTTCTCTCTACTTGTTTCCTGGCGGGACAACCCTTCGAACTACTACATCGGTAATATCCCCTGCAATTAAATTATAAATTAAAATAATGGGGAAAATATATTAAAATAATGTTTAAAAAATTATCATGGAATAAAATAATTACGTGGATTAGGATCACAATCCGAAGAAAAAAAAAAAAGATATATCTGAAGCGCGTGTTCCCAATCGCAGTCACACTCACCCTTGTTAGTATCTCGCTCGGTTTATATGTGCCGGTTCGACATTTTGCACGCTTAAATTAATTTTCCCATTATATACCGCTATAGTTGTTCAAATTTTAAAAATATCTTTTTATGCTCAACTTTAATTTTCATGATAAAATCCGAACTAATCATCATCAATGATTTAAACATAGACTGCTATTTTCTGGGTAGTTTCAAACTACTCTCACCCATCTTTGTCTTGCCGCATTAGGGCAAAAATACAATGTCTGATCCCTTCGATAAAACATAACTTATCCGAATTGAAAACGTCAAAAAGTATTTCAAGGTTTGTCATATTAATTATCAAGTATAGGATAAACAACACAATTCCACTTATGCGGGTTGCTAACCTTTTTTTAAACTAAATTTTATCTCTTAAAAGATAATTAATATCATTAAAAAATTCATTCTCTTTCTATATCTACCTTGTCTGATAAGATAATTTAATCATAAATAAGCATGAAAATATCATTAATTTTAAATATTCCTTAAGAGCATTCTTAAAAAAACTCATTAATTATTCGTAGAAAACACCAAAACATCTTATATATTTAAACATGGTATTATTTAAAAACATCTTGTGATTTTAAACAGAGAGAAATATTTGTAGACGTGAAAATTATATAATAAAAGAATGTCAATAGAGCAGGTGTAATTTGTAAGAAAACAAAGAGAAGGGGAAAAAAGTCGGTTGTAATTTGATTAAAAAACTGAAAAGATGTTACGATAATTTACTCTGCCATGCGTGAGAGAAACGCGGTTCAGATCTCGCGTGTTATGATCACAAACAAAAAATTGCTACAAGCGCATTTTAGCACAGCCGCCATTGATTTGGAAATTTCGTCGCCGGCGGCATCAACCACAACAACACAAACAAACAAACAAAAGAAATCTCCCGCCGTGCACATCAGCTGGAGTTTCAGACAGCACCTATAAATTCCCAGCAATTACAATTTCTTACTTTTTTTAAAACACGATCATAAGCCTCTCACATTGCGTAATTCCATAGTCTAGCTTCTTAATGACTGGATTAAGGTCGCTAATCAAGTAGTAGTAATTACCTGGGATATGGAGAGCCTTTGATGGGCTTCTGGCCGTACTTTCTCCAAGCCCAAGAATCGGACGGCGGATACGTCTCGCCTTTGCTCCTAGATCCCTCCACGTCACCGATCGGTACGACCACCACCCTCTTCTTTATCCCCTTCCTATATATGTACGCATAACGGTTAACCCCATCAACGGTAAATTAGTTATACAGTACATACACACACCTTCCTACCTAACAAAACTGCAAAAAAAAAAATAAAGGAAAACCACCAGATACCAGACCTTTTCTTGGGAGACGGTGCTGCAGTATTGATGTCATCACCGGAGGACGGAGAGTCCGGTACGGGTTCGGATTCTTCCGGTTGGTTGAATCTGTGGCTCATCATACAAAGAGCTAGGTTAGGGTTTTGGAGCGAATCTAAGTGGTGATCAGTTATGCAGGTGTTTGGGTGTTATGATCAGAGGGTGGTGGAAGCTAGAGGGCGAATGGGTTGGTGGGGTGGCCGGAGAGGAGGAGACGAGTGAGAGAGAAGATACAAAGAGAAGGGAAGGGTTGGGAGATGAGAAATGAGCCGCCATATATGGTGACAGGTTGGCAAATGGGGGAGTAGCGTAGTTTAATGTGGACGTGCGAGGCAATACCTAAGTCCTAGTATAATAAATAAACAAATATGGATGAGGGGATTCATATGATAGAGTGGGTTTATGATAAACAAATATTTTGGCTTCACTGATTGGTTCCAATTTCTATGATTATTCAAAGTTAGGGTTAGTGGAGAGGGAAAATTTACTCCCCCAACTTTTGACATTTTTAAGATTCATTTCAAATTAAATACTCTATCATTTAATATTATAAAATATTTTTTAAAGTATCATATTTAAAAACATATAAGACATTTTTCAATCTACAATTAATAATTTTTCCAAAACTACCCTTAAGTATGGAGTGTAATTAATAATGTTTTCTAATTGAGACGTCCTTTTAAATTATAAAAAATTAATGTTTTAGTTTTTTAACTTTTAACTCATTTGTAACTCAGTCCCTTAACTATAATTTACTGTGACTCAATCTCTTAACTTTTAATTCACTTATAACTTGACCCTTGTTTTTCAATTTTTTTTAAATTATCCTTGTCAAATAAGAGGGATAAAAGAAATGCTCAAATTTTATTCTTTCATGTGGGATCTAAGCTAATATAAAAAAACTAACAAAAGTTAAGAGATTGAGTTATATATGAGTAAAAAGTTAAGGAACTGAGTTATACGCGAGTCAATAGTTGAGAGACTAAGTCACAGTGAGTTATGATTGAGAGATTGAGTTACAAGTGAGTTAAAAGTTGAAGGACTAAAAAATTAATTTTTCCTAAATTATAATTGTAGACATAAAAGAATAATGTATAATTTTAAAAGATAATTAATTAACTCATTAAAATTGAATTCGATTGTTAAAAATGTCTTATAATATTAAATGGAGTTAGGAAATATATACCTAGAGACACCCACGTGGTATAAAATTTGATTGTCCATCTTTATATGATACGTTGAGCTTGTTGTTTGTTTGATGCATATAAGCTTATACATTAAAGTCTCTATATTACTATATAACAAGATATAATGTTTAATCTAATCTAACTAACCTGCCCTTAAAAAATGAGAAATGACTTGATTAACTTTTGCGAAATAAACCATGTTAATCATTCTTATCTATAATCTATATAAAATTGATAATCTCTGTGTCAGTATATATATCAAATGAATCTTCGAAAAATTGCTTCATTCAAAAGCCATACATTAACAATGTAATTCAATGTATATATAGAGTTTCATGCAATGCACGAATATCACCGTTTGGTTAAAAATGATATTACTTTTTGATGGACAAGATATTTTTACTAAAATGTAGACTTATTGTTCAAAGAATCAGAGACCGACTCGAATCGTTCAATTGGTTGGACTACGGATTAGTAATATGTCCAATTCAAAGATATGAGGAAGTCAAAGAGTAGGACATTTGGGGACAAACCAGCCGGTTAAACTAGTCTTCAATCAACCAGAACTGGTTAAAATTAAGTATACACATTATCAACCAACTAAAATTAGTGTTAGTGATAAAAACTCTTGTTATTTAAGTAAGTGATGGAAATTTAAATCTCAACTTCTATATATGTAACAATTTACTTGAAAATATTTTTTATTGTTGGTAGAGCCTACTCTCTGTGCTTAACTAAAAAATTATTCGCATCATCATATGAAATTGATTGTACATCTTAATATGATATATATTTATATTGAGTTTATTATACTTTTAATAATGCATATGAGTTTATATGTAGAGTCTATCTGTGAAGAAGCAAAATATCATGTATACTTGGCTGAGAAATAAAGAGAAAGAAATATCTGCTCGTTTTATAAATTTGATAAATCTCTGCATTTATGAGTGTGTGCGCATACATTTGTAAAAATTTGTACGGTCTGAAACTATGAATATTGTAATTTAATGTAGGAAGCTCCGTGCAACGTACAAGTGCTACCTTAGCTGAAAAGTATGGATAAGATTTTTACCCCTCGTAAGTGTGCGTGAGATCAATGTCAAGAGAACTGCTCCCTCGTACTCACAATATAAATCATAATTAATTAATTTATAATTTATAAATAATATTAGTTAAAATCATAAATTCTTAACAAATTTATATCTTTTTATTTATATTTTTGTTAAATATCCTATATAAAAATATTAATAATAGTAATTACAATTTCAATACATAATTTTTTTTAAAAAGTAATAAATGAATTAGGAGTATAGTTAAAAAAATAAATATAAAAATTATTCAATAACTTATATTTTGAACTAAACAAAATTTTAAAAATATACCTTATATTATGATCTGAAAAAAATAATTATCAAATTTAATTAGTTTCGTATTTAATACAGAGATGTGAGGAAATTGGAGGGCTAGAAAATCATTGATGCTTTAGTCAAACCAGCCTCGAATCAGATAAAACCAGTAAAATTAGTCATATTATATATAATAACATTTTTTTGACCTGCGTATAATAATATTATTTGAAAATTATACATTTACAACAAAAAAAATGGTTTGTTTTTTTTTTCTAGTGTGACTCCAATATGTAATAATCCCTTAATTTTAAATTATAAAATATTTTTAAATAAAATTTACATACCAATAAATCTCACTTAACAATCTTTTCTTTCAAAAAAAAATATAAACTTTCAAAAATACCCATAATTTAATACATTGAAAAGAGAAGAGATGGAAATTAATTATAAAGAGAAAAATTGATGCATTTAATAAAATCTTAATCTATTCAAAATATCTTATATTTTGATATGAAGAAACTCCTTCAAAAGTGTCATATAATTTGGGATGGAGAGAATCTGTCTCAAATTATAAGATACTTTTAGACAAAATTTTACATACCAATAAACCTTATCAAAAATACTTAATAACCTTATCTTTTCAAAATAAAAATATAAATTTTAAAAATATCCATCATTTAATATATTAAAAAGATAAAGGATGAAAATTAATTATAGAGAGAGAAAAGATAATATTAAAATTAATACATTTAATAAAATTTTAATCTATCCAAGTGTTTATATTTTGAGACGGAAAAAACTCTTTTAAAAATATTTTATAATTTAAAAGGGAGGAAATAATATAATATAATGTTGACTGCTAGCTGATGACTGATTAATTCCAACATATTAAATATTTCTTTTCGTGACAAACCAGTTAAGGTTGTTGTTGGGATGGGATAACCGTAGTGATCGAATGAAACTCAGAAATTTTGGGTGCTTGAATTTCAGTGTAGTAATTTCTATCGCCAAAAAAAAAAGTAAATAAAATAATAGATCGAAGGATTTAAAAAATATATTTTGTTAATTAAATAATTTTAAGATATTCATATGTTTTAAATATTTATCGCAATCTTCTTCTATATTTCTGTACCGTACACTTGTTCAAAAATTCAGGTCTTTTTAATTAAAGCTTTCTGAGTATTCCCTCTCATGGCTTCAAGCAAAAAGAAATTAATAAAAACAACATGAATAAATATTTTCGTTGGTTATAAAGTTGATTTGTCTTATTGTTTTAGGTTCCATAATGGGACAAAGAAATAAGCCATTGGTTAAAGGAATCAAATTAATTAATAAACTATGAGCCCTTGAGATTATCAATTTATCTTAATTAAAGTTCAATGAGATAAGGATGACATATATGCAATGTGTACTTATTTCATAATCATATAAAAAGCTCTATGGTCTATGTTTTCATCAAAACCAACATCAGATAAAAAAAAAATCAAAACCACCAACAAAAGTCATGTTATTCAATAAAAAACAATATGATATAATCATTAATTCACAATCAAATGAAAAATTTTAAATTTTCCTGCTCCGATTCCTTCGATTTGATGACGGTCCATTGGTCTAAACTGTAATTAATCAAGTAATTAAACAGTCCTCATCTTATCTTATTCTTGCCAACTGGTTACTAATTTAATAATACATATTGTATATATCATATGATAATGAAAGAATCATTAAATTACAAATTCTATGTCTGGCAATAATATATTATTGTAGGATTTTAATATGTACCTGTGATTGTGATTAAAATAGTGATTTGATTAAGCAAGTTAGTGTTTGTTTGTTATAAGGGTGGGTGGGATATTAAATATATGGATTTGTTTATTGTAAATTAATGGGTCTTGAAAACCACCTAATTCTGTTTGGATCTTGGAGCAAACATATGAAAGGATAGAAGAAACTTCCCAGGAATTTTAATTTAAAAATATATATTCAAAATTTTTTAAAACTAAAAAAAGAGCTAATTTTATTAATCACAAAAAAGTCCATTATAATCACTGATTAACCAAAGCCAAAAGCACTAAAAAAACTTAAAATACAACGTAACACACAACTCATAAAAATAAAAAATAAAAAACAAAAATCTTCTTGTTCTCAAATTTGCAAGCTTCCTCAAAACCTTCTGAATCAGCAACCACCTCCTTACTAAGGCCATCCAGAAAGTGCCCAAATTCATTCCTGCGAGCAAGATCAATACCTGTAGAATTCAAGAAACTATTAAAAGAATCATCAATATTAATTTTATTAATTTCTCAACTATTAAAAGAAATATGTATTCAATTGATATCATCTTTTTGTATTTTTTCCATTACATTATTCTAATCGATACTTACATAACAACTGGATAATGATGTCACCAAACATTAAGAAATATATGATTTTTTTATATAAAAAAAATTTGGACAAAACATATTTAACGTATGATTTTTGTAAATAATAAATATATATTTTTATAATTCAGTATTGACATATCTGATTTTTTCCTAGAAAATATTTTTGATTTATATAACTTCATCCTTTCTAGTTTAATTACTTCTTTTTGTTTAAAAAATTATAATATATAATTATATATTAAATAATTTTAAATTTAATCATTATCAAAACTTTGTTAGATGTAAC